ACTGTGCCGTATTGACCATTCGTGTGCACTCCATCACCACCTCTGTCGACAAGTACAACCCACCCTTCGAAACGTCCCAGTTCAGATGATTGTGGACAAATTTCCCTTTTGAAACTCCTCTGTTCGCATTAGCTGCCATGATCGAAATTGATTCCGCCTGTTTCGTACCTACCATCCGCGCTGCTCTTACTCCCCACCGGTAACAAACTTTAGACACGGCAACGTGAATCATCATCCACACCCTCGTGTGTAACTCCGTCATGGAAAACCTCAGTCTCAATGATCCTCCTCAGCAGCCTGCGTCGCCGCAAAGACTACCGCATCCACAACAGCACCCACATCAGCAAAATGCAGTGTTCCCCGGCCCGCCCCCGCCTCAAGGTGCTCCTCAATTACCGCCGCAGATGTTCACAACCGCGGCTCAACTGCTGGATTTGACGGATAGTGCGTCTCTTACCTCCTGGCATGGTCACAGGAAGCAAGTGCAAGAATTCATTCTCACCTTTTTTTTTTTCTCTAGAGAAACTTCTCCTTGTCCTCCGAGACGGACGCAAGATTTTCGGCGTACTACGGTCATGGGATCAATTCGCGAACCTCGTTCTCACCGACACGAAAGAGCGGTATTTCGTCTCTATTCCCTTAGCAACCTCCGCAGATTCTGCAAAGCCTCAGTCACAGTCACAACAGCCACCACCCACTCGGAACCTCTACTGCGACATCCCCCGCGGCACCTTTCTCGTGCGGGGCGAAAACGTCCTCCTTTTGGGCGAAGTTGATCTCGATAAGGACGACGATCCTCCTCCGGGATACGAAGAAGGGGATGTCGAAGAGGTGTTTCGGATACAGAAGGAGGCAGAGAGAGAAAGGAGGAAGAAGGATCGATTGAAAGGCAAGAAGACAGCGTGGAGGGATCCGGAGGGAAGCGGGGAGGTTTTGTTCTGAGCTGCTACATGGAGGGCGATCTGAGGCCGGATCTCCTGGTAGTCAATGCAGGAGGGACGTGCTCACACACATAGCAGATGAAGGGGCCCAAATTTAGAGCAACAACGTCTCTGGCTCATTATGGATTGAACGTGACTACCAAGAGCTGTAGTCAATTGTCTGGTAGAGACTGTGGATTCCCCAAAACTACCTGAGAGGGTCTGGCGCACAAGCAATCTAGCTGGTTCGCAACAGCATTTGTCGGGGGAAGAACAAATGCAAACTGCACGAAAAGAGGCGCCGCGCAGAAGACCAGGAGCAGAATATTGTGAAATGCTCCTCTATATGAACGCCAGAAGCCAAGATATTTTTTTCCCGGACACGACATGCAATGTTCCCACCAGCAGCAGTATACATCCTAGGACGCTAGGAATAACATCCCTACTCGAATCAAATTGCACTCGAACTCGAAATAAAACAAGAGCTCCATGGCGTCTCTGCTGGCAGCAGTCAATCATACTATTGGCTTTTAATAATCCTCGCCTCTGGCTGATGAGTGTGAGTAGAACGTATGTAGCATGCTACCCCAGCTATTCTTTTCGTTCCGGCGTCGATGAAAGTGAGAGTCATTTGAGAACTACCTAGGCAAGCATAGCTCCCCCCTGCGAGTTTTGTTTTTCCCTGCGGTCGAGCTATCCGACTCTGCGTCGCAGCTTGTCATTGTTCTTAGTCCCCCTCTCTTGGTTGGATATGATATGGTTCGGTGCGGCCCTTTCGAAAACATGCAAGTCTTCTCGGCGCCCTCCTTGTTCCCTCCTCTCAGCTAGAGGGCAGCCTCCCCAACCAATTCAGCACCATCATGGCCTGGGTGATGGCGACCTTCTCTCCAAACTGCATCCCATCCCAGCTATTTGCCTGCACCGTCATATTCCACAACTTTAACACATCGACGTCGTTGTCCTCCGCAACGACGGCGAGATGGCGATCAAAGTCCCATATCTCCTGGTTTCCCTTCCGGCCGCGGATCTGGGTGTGGCCGGAAGCGGAGGGTCCGACCCAGAGCATGGGTGTCTTCCGATGGGACGAGTCGGCAAGGGCCAAGAATTCTTCGAGCGAGGCAACTGCGATTTCTGGAGACACGGTGTTGGGGGAGAGGCCGTGGATGATGGCGACGGGGCGATAGTTGGATCGTTTGACACGTGGGACGAGCTGTTTGAACCTTCCAATCACGGAGATTGGGGCTGGGGAGGTGCTGATTTCTAGGAAGGAATGGGGTGTTCGGCTGCAGAAGTAGGGCTGGTCGGCTCGGCCTGACAGAAGGTTTGTAAGGTCGCCGCTAGATGTGATGAAGTGCTCGGAGCAGGGCTGTGAGGTAAACTGATTGTCACATCTGCACTGGCGGAGCTTTTCCTTGTCCATATTCCAGGTCCTCAGGGCACCGTGGGCCAAATCTCGTCGCAAGAGGATGCTGAGTCCGTTGTAGATGGTCTGGAGACCGTAGTCGCCCACGAAGACGATGGCGTCAAAGCGTTCCAGGATCATGCAAATCTCCTCCACCGAATACCAGCGGTAGTGGCAGTCTAGATTACGGAGGGTTAGGGCTGATATGAGATGTGTGTTTTATATCACAGGACTCTCACCTTTTGGAAAATATGGGGTATCAAACCCAATCCTACCACCACCTGACATGGCCTCCAGGAGGTCCTTGCGTCTGGGACAGTAGGCATTGGGAGAGCCCTGCAACGACTGATCCGGCGAGGGAGGCAGATACAAATCAGGAGCACGAATGCTGCACTCGGTGAGACCACGAAAGGAGTTGAAGTAGCTGTTTCACCTTGATGTCAGTCCTGTCCACGTGTCAAACATTTAGTTGATACTCACTTGTTCAGATCATGAGAGACAATGGCAAGTCTGTCAGAGTGTCGTGCTGGATTCCAGTGTCCAGGCAAACGCAGCACGTAATACGTGAGGTAGACGATGAAGGAGAGGTAGGCAAGTGACAACAGATGATACATGATACGGGGGAAGTTCAGCTCCTTGAGGTAATCAAGTGCATCGCTCATTTGCCAGGATAGTCGGGTGAGGAGGGGGGCTCCGTGTGGCTGAACCGAGGGCTTCAGATCCTTCTTTGCCATGATGAGGCGGCTCTTGAAGACAGGTCACCAGGTTGAGGGCGGATGTATGGGGAGTCAAAGGTGTGAAATGCGCAGCAGTTTGGATAAAAGCGGAGACCAAATAGAAAATGATGTCGATGCTGTCGCCGGCGCCGCGACCTTGCTTCTGGATCGATCTGTCAGCTGGAAAAGAACAGCTTCCTTTCACTTGGGATGTTGGTGAGAAGGACTTGTTGGCCTGAAGCATCGTTTTCTCCTCCTTTGGCACCGTCTAGTGACAGGGCAGTCGCAATGACGAGATCTGGGCATTCATTCATGCAACTTCCACAGCCCCGTCATCAAAGGAGCTCGCCGAGCCTTGTCTCACAACCCAAGAGCATGGAACATTGTTCCTCTCATCAGCCACCCGCAGCCACATTCCTCACACATGTAGCGAGACTTCCCAGGCCTCTACTGCCATCCATCCATTCATTTGTATAACACCAAGCAGGGTCGAAAGGTTTGGGCGGAGTACTCACAATACGAGGAGGACCATCACAGACCCAACTCACCCCCAGGTATTGGAAACCGGATCAGCGAGAAATCTCGCATGCACCCTCTGCTCTCAGTGGCATTGCAGAAGCTCGCTCCTCCGACCATGTAAGTTGTTGGGCGGGAACATAATCTGCACCATGGAGGTAGTGATGATATCAAACACATTCACCTGGGAGACTCAGGCCGGCGGTGATGGAACCTTTAAACACGAAGGACGGTTTTCCTTCCAACTTCGTGCTCCAGACATTGGCGAGCACAGAAAGACACCGTGTATTCGATCCTGGCAAGTCAAAGCGGCCATGGTTTCCTGGACCAACAAGGCCCAACATGGAGCAAATGGAGAATCCCAGATGCTTTGCACATACCTTGGACTCCAGACGCCAGAATCAGACAATAATCCGTCTCAAGTGGCGCCGATGGTTTCCAGTTGGGACTTGACCTTGAACAGGTGCCATAGTCGATGCCTTGATGATGCTAGTGGGCGCTAAGAGACAAACGATAGAGAGGGAAAAGTACTTTCACCAGAAAGCTCAAATGACCCCATGTACATTGCATGGAGGCAAACCAAACAAGTGATTTGCTGCAAAAAAGGAAAGGTTAGGTGAGTTTCGAATGCTCGGCCGTCACTCGGAAACTGGGCCCTCAGCAGACCAGGGAGCATCAAACAGCGAGCCTCGTCGGAAGGAATGACGCAGGCTGGAGGTTTTTGGGGGCCGCCGGGGCAAAGGGAAGAACAGAAAGGCTGGAGGTTGATGATGACCCGAAGGAGCGAGACCAGGAGAGAAGGAGAGAAGGCCAGCAGCCCTTGAGTCCGAGACCCAATCACTGAGGATGCCGGAGCACTCCACAGTCATGAGTTTCTGGGCTTTGAGGAAGTCTCCCCACAGCCGAGCAGGGCCTGGAAGAGCAGGGCCAGGAAGCCAGAGAGGGACAAGAGGCAGAGCCAGGCCCAGCCAGAGACAGAGCCACCAACACCACCAGACAAGCACCCGCTGCGGCAACCCTTGTCCCTCTCTGGTTCCTGCTCACACGAACGAGGCACATACACTCACCTGTCACCTGCATCTTCCAGCTCTTTTTTCTTTTCCATGCTGCGCGACATTACTCTGCATCACCTCTTGCTCCCCTTCATACTCTGACTGCTGGCCCGCTGTCTCTGTACTCCCAGCTGGACAGAAGCCTCATCCAGCCCACCTTGAACGTCTTTCGTCATTGACGCACGCTGCCTCGGCACCGTTCGTTGACCTCCAACAGTCGGAGAACATCGGACCTTGATCCTCCACACGCTCCTTGCTGCATTTCGAGTCATACTACTTCGTTCTGTTCCAGTCGATTGCTGCTGGTGCTGCCTTTCTTTGATTCATTCCTTCAGGTCCCTTCGAATTGTTCGTCCCTATTGAAGCAGGCCGCAAGGCCTGAACTTCCTTCAAGATGTCGTGGAAGCCCACTGAGAAGCTCATGCAAACTATTGGGCACTATGCCAGCTTTCCGCCAACAGGAGTCAGTCTTAGACAGATGGTTCAATTTGGAGACAAGCCTTCTGCTGGTATGTGAATGCAAAGACTTGCCCTCGTAATAACTATGGCTGATCCTGTGTAGGGACACTTTTCCGTGCGTCACAATTTCTCTCCGAAGAGCTTCCAGTCCGTCTCGCGCACCGTGTAGAAGAGCTGGATAAACTACCCGATGGTCTCAATGACATGCCTTCCATCAAGAAAGTGCGAGACTGGTACGCTCAATCCTTTGAAGAAATCACAACCCTTCCGCGACCTTCATTAGACACTGAAACCCGAGACCGCCTCCTCAATCCCCCCAAGAAGTCCAGCACAAAACTCTCCGCCACTACACGCAATCCCAGTCTCAAGGACCATGGCAACGGCAACGGCAAGAGCGGGATGAATTCGCGTCGCTATTTTGCTGCTCTGGACGACGGCAAAGAGTGGCCTCCAATCCTTTCCGAATACAACCGCAAATTCGCTCGAACGCTGGAAATCATCAAGAGAAGACACGATCCTGTTGTCACAACTGTGGCTCAAGGAATCAACGAGTGGAAGCGCAAGCAACAACGCATGCAGATTGATTCGTCCATTCAGTCCTTCCTGGACCGTTTCTATATGTCACGCATCGGTATTAGAATGCTTATTGGGCAACACATTGCGTTGACAGATCAGACCACCAACAGACACCCCAATTATGTTGGTATAATATGCACAAAGACAAATGTCCGAGAACTAGCAGAAGAGGCAATTGAGAATGCCAGATTCGTATGCGAGGACCACTACGGCCTGTTTGACGCTCCCAAGGTCCAACTCTTCTGTCCACCTAACCTAACCTTCATGTACGTGCCAGGCCACCTGTCGCACATGCTCTTCGAGACCCTCAAGAACTCACTGCGTGCCGTGGTGGAGACACACGGGGCTGAAAAGGAAGAGTTCCCTGTGACCAAGGTGATTGTGGCTGAGGGGAAAGAGGACATCACGATCAAGATCAGTGACGAGGGAGGTGGAATTCCACGGTCTGCCATTCCACTCGTCTGGACCTACATGTACACTACAGTCGATACCACACCAGAGCTGGATCCCGGATTTAATGCTAGTGACTTTAAGGCGCCGATGGCTGGGTTTGGGTATGGTTTGCCACTTTCGAGATTGTACGCAAGGTACTTTGGCGGAGATTTGAAACTGATATCAATGGAAGGGTAAATCTTTCCTGACCTCTCCCTCCTTGCCGTCTCGGTGCTAACAAGTCATACAACAGATACGGCACAGACGTCTACCTCCATCTCAATCGACTTTCTTCATCCGCCGAGCCTCTGCAATAACAATTAGCAGTCATGAGGGACAAAGGCGGGTCCCAAGGATTGGCGTTGAACAGCAACAAGGTTGAGTCTGATGGTCCGAGGAGCTCAATTCCCGGCATCAGCCGTGGACGTTTGGCCGCCGTGCGTTCACGATTGAGGAGTAGGGAGGTGACGGAGAGGAAGCAAGTAGGGGACGCTGAGAGCATGATTAACGAGGAGCCCAGCGTGGTGCAGCCAGGGGGAGCCAGCCAGTGGCTAGAATGAATCGAGAGGGCCATCATAAAAAGTCATTGTTAATAGGGGCACCAGACAGAAATCCAGCGGCATTTGTTAGCTCACTTGAAATAGACGTGCTCCATTGTTGTGATGTCTGATCACTTGTGCTTTGAGGATACTCGCATCGCCTCCGCCGCCGACAGAGCTATTGTTCTCGAGATGATAAGTATACCAGACTCAACGAGGCTCCTCCCACTACGTTTCCTGTCCAGCACACCCTATCTCATACAGCTGTCGAAAGGGCATTCTACATCAAGGGAACCGGACACTCATTAGGCTTAATCACGAAGGTCGTCGGCACCCGTTGTATCAGGCCATATCCACAAATCAATCTAGCCATACTCATCTCATACACTCAACCCAGTCTATATTACCCTCGACCATTTCTTCCGCGTGCTTTCGATGAGAGCCCATCAGTCCTATTCCTGCGAGGCCGGTTCCGGATCTTATCCGCGGCGGACAATTCTCGGAATCATCGCTCTGGGAGTGGCTCAATGTGTAGTTGCCCTTGTGTAATGAGATTGGCGCCCTGGCTGATCCGTTGAAGGCTCGAGACCCCATGCAGCAAGTCTCCTTTAGAATATGACAATGTGCAAGAGTCGCTGCTGTGCGCGCCAAGATGGAAATTGGGAGAACGAAGTCTTCCGGATTCTGCCGGTAGCACAAGCAGCGTCAGCCTTGTACCATACATACCTATTATTGAAGTAGGTAGCCGGCGAGCGCCAGAATTGGAAGCTTGGCATTCTTGGCATTACAAGGCTTGAACCCAGAAACCACCAGACATCGTCCCAGTTGATATCAATCCCCTTTCAACAAGCTCTCTGCTTAGACTTGGTTGACTTACCTTTGCGCTCAGTCCCGCCAAGTCTCTCATTACCCATGTCTCTGCTATGCTCGTTCACTTGAGCTGGTAGTGTTCTGTGAGGCACGCTTGTTCATAATTCTCATAATTAGCGATCGACGCCAAAGCTCCCAAATTATACCCAACAAAAAGTGAGGCGCAGCCACCGTCTGAGCTGAAGCAAAGTTCAAGCGTTACCGGTGAGTCAATTACATACCTGTATTTCCTATCCTCCCCTCCCCAACAGCTTGCAACTTGATGCGTGAAAAAAGTCAACACGGAGGTGATTTACGATATTCTTTTGAGGTGGTCTACGCCCAAGCTGAAAACGAAAGAGTAGCAGCAAGTTTCCCGAATCTCTGATATAAGGCTGAGGATTGTGAAGAGGTAGGAGCGCAGTCAGGCAATGGCGATTCTACATCACTGTCGAACCGACTTTCCCTCATATTGAAAATGCATGGGGCTCTTCAGGGTCTCGTTTCGCCTCCCACCAAAACCTCAATTAACCCGCGTAGATTTAGACCCGTCGCCAAACGCCCCCAGACAACGCGGGCGCATCACCATGTAGTCTGCAGGCGAGGCTGAGACTCTTCGGCCTGATTGGCTTACCCCCCGTGTTAAGCGGGTCCTCGCTTCCTCGACGAGATGTGATTGGACACAACAATTGAATTAGAAGTCAGTCCCCTGGTCGTCCATCAATGTGGCTTTCAGCTGAAGTTGCCCAGAACTTCCAGATTGTCGATTATTGGCTGTCTTGCATACTCTTCATTGTGCCGTGTCCTGGAGAAACCTGTTTTCGAAACGTCCCCAAATTCCCATGCATACAGCCGTGGCCCAATCTGGACAACACAGCCTAGGAAACGGAATGGTGGCAGGTTATTTAATCCTTTTCAAGGTCAAGGACATGGCCATGGCTTTTCGAAACCTTCTGCAAGCATGGCTGCTATTGTAATTGAGACAAAATCTCCCAAAAGGGCCGTCGGCCCATGTGCCTATAGGTTTCACAGTCGCCACCTCAACCACATATTCTCTCCAAAGAGGACAGAAGATTATCAACGCCGAACGACACCATGTCTGAGAGCTTGACGGAAGAACGGCCAGGCTATGGTATTGCCGATTGGACACGCAAGGGGATTTATATTACTATTGGCGTCTCCCTCGTGGTCGCATTGGGCTCCGTTGGGCCCTCGGTTTGCGACCTTTGCTTGCCAATTAGCGTATACCGGGCTATCAAGCTCTTCCATCATCTGAGAGTTGCTCCCCCTGGCTTTTAAGATTGTTTTCGCTATTCCCACAGATATTTGAGCTTTACCCGCAGTGCGTCCCTGCGCTGGGCTCTCTACAAGGAAAATCGACCCCAGTACAACTCAAACCTGAGACTATTCACAAACACCAAACGGTGTAACTCGAACCACTGGCCAGCCAATCTCATGTCAGCGATTCTCCTGATTACAAGCTATACAGCCGCAAATGCCGCCTTGTAGATCTAAAAGGAGCAGAATGGGACCAAGAATATCAGCCTCAATGCCGTGGCTTTCATGGCCCTTGGAATTCCCCCATTGGCCAGATCATCATTGCCATTTGGAGCCTACACGGGGCAGACGACTAGGTCCATTCATGGACCGCCAACGCCCTTACTACCGCATTAGCCTTCCTCAATCAAGGCGTCCCGTATCGAGTCCTTGGGCGTGGAATGATGTCAGTTCACGATATCCTTGCTCAGACCCCAGCTGGGCCAAAGCGGCCACAAGAGAAACAGCAAAATATGATCAAAGGTTACCCCCATGTCGGCCATATGCTATGGATTGTGGGGGCTGCATTAGCGCTAGATTTGCTTTTCGCGGCGATCGTGTGCAAATTGACCATTCAGCAGCACCCGTCAGCGCAATTGGCATTTCTTGTTCAGGGACGGCATGTATTCATTCTTCAGCTTCGCCATGCCGTATGAATGGAATCCATATGTCATCCCTCTGCATTGCGCCGAACTGGTGCTCAACGTTTCCCGCGACGAGGAAGTCTGGCGAAGGGCATATATTGCCACGGGCAAAGGCGCAAAAATCAACACCAGTCATTTCGGCCTTGAGTAACTGGTCTTGGGTCATTCTCTTCATCATAAAGCCCATTGCACAGTGGCTGTTTCGTATGGCATCAATGTCTCTCGGTCAGCGAGGCGAAGGGGACGGTCTGGTTTGGTTCAACTCCGTGCCTCTCTTTGTCCTGGACGGGGTGCTGGCGTTTATCTTGGCTCATTTATCACTTCTAGCGTTCCGGAAGCCAAGGGGCCCACAGCCTGCAACGTTTGGACGCATCGAAACTCTGGTCAACCTTATCGATGATTGGGGAGGAGACATCAAAGGGAGACTCTATTGGGGGAGAAGAGCTGCGAAGACGGCATTTATGCGGTGGGCACCAGCCCAAATCCAATGCGTGTCAGGGCGCTTGATAGGGATCGGGAATATTGGTGACGGACGGGGTCCTCCCTTGTGGGGATTCCTCTAGAAGGGTTTAATGATATTAGAGACGGAGATGTGTCCCTTTCGGGTTTCAGCGTCATAATTACATGTGTTTGATCTGCTGAGGCTACGTGATGTAACAACATCAACGCTATCCTAACGAATGGAATAGTGACGCATATGCGTGTTAATTAGGGGGAACAGTCTATGAAGCATATCTCACAAATACGATGGTAATCGGTGACCTCGTGTAGTCGGAGACCCATCACGTGCTTCTCTCGACTAACCTTCCATACAGGGCTAGGAGACATCGCCTCCGCGTCGATCAGACCGCTTGATTGTGTCTTGGTATTGACTTTGACAAACCTGTGGCCTCGCTAGCCGTCTGGGAGGGTGAAAGAGCAATGAGTCTCCGCCATCATTTCAGGTAAAGGTGCTGCTAAGCGGCGACACTGTGTAAAACTCGGAGAAGAAACGGAGGACGACAGGAAATGGCGACGAACAGCAGACTCCGGCGTCCTGCTATATTTTGGCTGGTCTCCTGGTGCGTCCCCCGGCTCTGACCCAGCAGGATCTACTGAGGAATAGCTGAATCGTGAGCACCTTTAGTTCTCACTTTTCCTCCTAGCACTTGACTTCTCGATCATCGCAACCGCAGTTCCTTCCGTCTCGTACTAACTGAGGTCGCATACGGCCTACGTCTGGATTGGCTCTGCATATTTGCTCACAAGTGCAGCCGTGACTCCAGTATAGGGCAAAGCAGCTGACGTCTGGGGCCGTAAACCTGCACTGCTAAGCCCCATTACACTGTTTGCTCTTGAGTCCGCCATATGTGGATGTTCGAAGCACGTTGTGCAACTGATCTCGGGTCGTGCTGTGCAAGGGTCTGCAGCTGGAGGCATCATTGTGTTGGTTAACATCTCGATCAGCAATGTGTGGGATTCATGGTAGGTCAACCGTCACTCTTTCTCACTCCCTGCTCACCCATTCTTAGCTTCTTAGGCACCGGAGTATGTTGCTCGCCACCACCGGCTTAGTCTGGGCCATTTCCGCTGGCATAGAACCCCTCCTAGGAGGTATCTTCTCTGAGTATCTGACATGGCGATCGTCCTTCTGATCAATCTCCCATGTTCCTTTGCTGCATTTGTCGTTCTCTTCTTTTCGATGGACTCGGTGCAGCCGCAGGCCGTGGGAACTGATCAGGGAAGCACTATGGACTGGATTGGAACCGTCGCCATCATTGGGGTCACCGTCATGATCCTGCTCAGTCTGGACTTTGGCGGGGTGGTCTCGCCCTGGGACTCCCCGAAGGTCCTAAGCCTTCTTATAGGTGGCTTTGTGTTGTTGACATTTTTCGTCTTCTGGGAGACCAGAGGCGCGTCGAACCCTCTGGTACCATCCCATCTAATGGACCGCACGTCCAAAGTCAGTCCATTCATGGTCTGCCTCACCCACGGGTTTGTACGAACTGTTCAACCGCCAGTATCCTCCAGTGCAAGCGCTGATCAACAGTAGGTCAACGTCTCATCGTGGTGTTTCTTGCCCCTTTCCTTCCAAGCCGTGCAAGGAGCTTCCCCAACCCTTTCTGGCGTTCTCATAATGCCTATCGTCGTGGTCCAAGCCATGACAGGTCATGTTGCGGGCGCCATAACATACCACTTCAGCTGGATCCGCTCGCTTATATGGGCAGCAATTGCTCTTACGACGCTTGGTTTCGGCCTCTTCATCAGTATTGGCACATCGAACTCCCTTGTCCTCATGGTGATTATCGAAATCGTGGCTGCTCTTGGAATAGGCATCACCTTCCAGGCCCCACTAATAGCGCACCAGTTAGTCGTTGACTCGGCAGATATGGCGGTGGCAAAGGCACTATTCGGCTTCATTCGCAGTCTGTCGACGTCCATCTCAGTGGTCATAGGCGGCATTGTTTTCCAGAATAGTATGTCGACGCAAAGCAAACACCTGAGTGATATTCTAGGACCACAACTGGCTCAAAACTTTTCGGCCACGACGGCAGCGACCAATGTATTGATAATACGCACACTACTTTGTACCAACGGACGGAGGTGAAGAATGCATATGCTTCCAGTCTGAAACATATGTGGATTATATACGCGAGTACAGGCGGACTGGGCCTCATCGTGGCGCTTTTTGTGAAGAGGCAGGCACCTGGCCAGGCAAGCAGTGAACCCTCAGACAGAGACGGTGTGGAACTCGCTCAGGGAGGGAGTCAGTCTGCCAGCTGATTGGAGATATCCGGCAAGCGGCGACGTCCTGGGTAGAAAAGCAATATAATGTACCGGTCCCGCGGCAACGACACACTTCCCAGCTGGTCTCGGAGCAAACCCTTTCGGGACAAGCAACATTTATTCTCCCGTTTCGGCGCAGAGCAGATGGTCAAAGCGCTATTGCATAGAGATCATACCTCCTTTTCGTCGTCGACGCTTCAATGAAAGCAGCACATGCTATCCATGGACGACATGTGCATAAAGCACAATAGTGTCATCCACGTCGTCAATCCTTGACCAACCGGGTATGTAAGGCTTCCTGTCCTGTGGGAATCTCAATTTAGTGACTTTATTGCATCACGCCACGCGTGTATCATATTAGACATTCCACTCGATGCTCAGTATAGGAAGCCAATCAAGCAGCTCTTTCGGGAACATTTGAATAAACTACGAGATTGATTCCTTGCTTTCAAGTGCCTTGGTCCGTTTTCTTCTTATCTGTCCTTGTATTAGGTCTCATCAACGCAATGTCGGACCTCATAGTTCTCGCCTGTGCATCCGGCAAGCAATGCAGCCACATAATCCCGCTCTTGTACGAGGAAGAGACGTCGCTTTCCATACTCCGCCTGGTAGTAAACTCCAAGGCATCCCTCGATCGGCTCACGCAGCGGTATCCCAAAACCGAGGTCGTCCAAGCAGACTTCCAAAACCTGCAGGACTGCCGCAAGATCCTGGATGGAGCGACAACGATCTACTATGTGAGCCCTACATTCACGCCGCACGAAGCGCACATGGGGATGAACGTGATCGACGCCGCAGTCGCAGAGTCGAGGAAGAAGATACCCCCCTCCAAGTTCCAGCACTTTGTCTTCTCGTCGGTGCTGCACCCAGAAATCTCAAAGATGCTAAACCACGACAGAAAGAGACTCGTCGAGGAATACCTCGTCGAGTCGCCGCTAAACTACACCATCCTCCAGCCCAGCCATTTCACGGACAATTCGATTGGCCAACTGCTTGCACAAAGGGACGCGGACGCGCCCGTGTATATGGCGCCCTACGATCCCGCGGTCAAGTTCTCTTTCACCACGCTGCGCGATCACGCTGAGGCTTCAGTGAAGGTCATCCGGGAACGCCACAGGCACTACTTCGCCACCTACCAAATCCTCAGCACCCGGCCGATGGATTACTACGAGTACGTCAGGTCGGTGGGGGACGTGCTGGGACGGACCTTCGAGGTCCGGCATATGTCGTACGAACAGGCCGTAGAGGCGCTCTGCAAGCGCTTGTTCTCGGGCGCGCCGAGTCTCGCGGATGTAGACCTCCGAAACCGAGATGGGCCCGAGCGCATGCTACTATACTACAACACGCGAGGTCTCCTTGGTAATCCCGGAGTCCTGGAGTGGTTGATTGGGAGGAAGGCGACGAGTCCGGCCGACTTGGCGAGGCTGTTGTTGTCATCAGCACCAGCAGAGAAAGACAAACAGTCAATCTAACAGGAGGGGGCACAGGTTCCAGCTTCGGGTTGAGTGAATGGATGAACAGGTGGATATGGGAGTAAGGGAATGACAGGCTCACGGTAATAAACGCCGCCTTGAATCGAAAAGCATATTGAGAAAACAATATAACCAATCCAATGACACAAATACAGGAGCGACTAGGTCTTGAGGTCCGTGGCAAGCAATAACGAGTTTCTTCAGGTGATGGCCCAGGACATCCTGGTCCCTTGTTTTGGCTCAGCCTTGCAGCCACTAACCATTGCCAGGACCAACACCCACATAGCCTAGAAGTTGCTCTCTTTTCCTGTGTTTGACGATCCACCCCGTACCATGCTCTCTCAGCAGCTGATAGTGTCCACCAGCTACCCCAAAACCCTTTATAGGCATTTCTCACGCCATCTGAGAACTTGAACTGCACCCTCTTCTCCCGAACTTCCCAGCCCCGACTATCCGGATGCTAGTCAGGCCAATAGCACGAAATCGCCGCAGAGGAGACGGGTAGATACAGAACCGATGACTTCCCTCTGTGCATCTTCTTCAGCACAATCTCTGCCTTGCACAGCTTACGTCGCAGGTCCGCGACAAACTTGGGCAGCAACCCTTCATCCACGCCCTCGGTGTCGACAGTCATCTCCAGCAAGCGGAGAGAAGTCAGTTTCAGAAGCCCGTCACCTACCCATCGTGAGTTGATGTCGAACGTATGTCTCCCGCCGGTCATGATGCAGCCGCTGATCGTCAGTCTCAGAGTCGCCAGTCTCGCGCTTTCAGCCTCCCGGTTCGTCCCCTGCTCCGGACAGCCGAGCTCATTGCACAGACCAAGCCACCGCTGCATGTGGCTGGGACTGGTGAGACTGATCGCCAGAACGTCCAGGATGATGGTCCGCAGGCCTCGTCGCTGCCATGGGCGTAGCCTCCGCAGGAACAAGTCGCAGTACAGCAGACCGGTGCCGTTCCACTTGGCGAAGTCAAAGGCGTTGTGTTGGAACGGGACGAGTCGCGCCTCGCGGTATATCTGGCGGTTGACAAGAAGCAGTTCCAGGGCGAGCTCATGGTGGTGCTTCAGTTGAATGTCGCGTGGGTGCTTTTCTGGTGCCATGCTACTCAGCAGATGGATATATATCAAGAGTCGAATCTCGAAAGGCAGACGGAAGAAGTGGGATTGTTGATGACCTGTCAGGACTAGCTTTCTGTCGTCGTGCTCGGGTTGCTGAAGAGTCAACAGCACGTTGACAGAATCGATCGGGCCGTTACTTAAGGTTATGTATGATAGAAGCGTCGCCTTCGTATCAATCGGTTGGTGGTCTGGGAGGACGTCTTTCAGGGCAAACATGCCTCTCGAGGAATCATACGCGATGAAGAACATCAGGTTCCTCATTCTCATCACGAATATCGTCTGTTCAATCAAGAGAAGATAGGTTACTTGTACTGTGGGCAGACCTCAGTGCTTTCGAAGGGTTGGATGGATATCATCCGGGCTCCCCTCACCTCTATGCTTATATGTTAGGAAAAGGAGGCGTTGCTCTGGAACCGGCCAGTCATTTGTCGAGACGCACCCTTGACCAGGGGTTGCGCGGATTGAACCGGGATGTACTACAGTTGTGGAGGAGCATCATCACCGTGACAATTATGCTTTAGTTGAAGGGTTCAGAGTTGTTGTCTGCATACGTTGGAGTAGCCGCCGTGATCTATGTGAAGGAGAGGCCTTATTCTTTCGCAATGTCCCGTACCTCGTGTACGAACATATGAGCACGTCCCCTATTGCTCAGACATGCCGAACGCCATCAAACACTCGACTCGGTATCGTCATTGCCAGAATCCTCTTCCAGGGCATTAGAGAATGGCCTATACTTCTCCTCCTCGATGCGGGCCAAGACGGAGGCAGAGATTTTCTTCGGATTGAGCCCATACAGTTCTTGAAAACTCATAATCATCGGGTGCCACTTGTCCGGATCGATACGGTTGCTGTGCCCAGCCATCCTGATGGAATCCCACACATGGGTACGCAGGACCTTGACCTCCAGTGCGATGAAACCACTCGCGCCGATGTCCATCATCATCCCATAAGTGCCAACAAGCTCCGCCTCCATCTGTGCAGGACATTCAGCGATGCGGGCTGGTCTGACAAGGTCTGAACACTGCGGCGTCAAATTCGCATGTCCGAATTTGTCATGCACATATTCGTATCCATTCATCCTTTTGAAGTATTTGTACCCCGTATGAGGCTCTGCAGTGGCAACATCCGCTGTACCGGTGGTGCGGGCCAAAGCGTTAACCGGGTTCTTCATGTCATCCGAGGGGAGATTAAGGACGCATTGTTTTGTACGCATCAGATTGACAGTGGTCTGGGAGATCTCTCCCAGTCCGAGCATACAACGATTGCCGAGCCACCAAGCCGAGGACATGGGTGCGATGTTGAAAGTACCATCTTCGTTCTCGGTCGTGATGAGCACCACGGGAGTGCCCCAATAAAAGATGGCGGGAGATATTGGGTGATGCATGGAGGCGAACGAAACCATGAGCGCTCGATGATTGTGAGGTGCGTGCCTTAGGGATTGATAGATTAGCTATTGACGTGAAGAATTTGAAAAGCAGAGGGATAGGAACGAGCATCACGGTGCAAATATATATGTTCACTGTCTGTCCCTACCTTCCACGAATACGGGCTGTGAGTAGTCATTTTTTCCCACTGCTCCGGTCTATCCAGTCAGAGTTTGTACAGCACCAAATCTCGTGCCAACTGCTTTCTCCGTGGGATCTCCCCGTCGTGGAAAGGTGGCGATGGTGGATACGAGAGTGAGCGTATAGAACTCATCGGCATTGCCTTCCACAACGGGAATTCTTAGTTATCCATCTTTTAGCTGGCTTACCAAATAGTGACTGCCAAGCGTGGAACAGGCTGATCATCACTTAGAAAGACTCATGTTCTGAGCGAGATGCATCGGTCTGTTGTTGATTGGGCCATATGTTGGCCGCGTTGAAGATATAAGCGTGGCCTAAGAATGGTGGCTGTGACTGGTCAGTTCGGTAGCAACGCTCCATCTTTGCCCTGAAAACTTCGTGTCTGCATGAAATCCAGCGCAAACTTGTTCTCGTGAAAGGCGTTGCGGTGAAGCAATTTGATGTTGATGGCTTCAGTTGCTGCGAGGTAATTGACGAATGAAAATTGAAATTGACTCGAAGGATGAAGAGACTGTGATGAAAGAGGGTTCCGGGAGCTCGTCGAGGAGGACATGCTCCGACTCCGACCATAGCGAACACGAGATTTGCACCCTTGGTATTTGCAGCCTGATTCTTGTAGACTCGCCATTGGTCAATTCCGGCTACACTCTTCAACGGCTTTCTCATCCTATTACTAAGAATTGTGAGTCGGGCAGAAGACGCTCTCTGTTTGAGCAACGTGGACTACATACCTCAGGCGGTGAACTTGTCTCGACACCAGAACACATATTTGCCGAAAGCGTACAGGCATCAAGAGAGCCTGTGTCCCCGATGGTCACCATGCCAGTTGCTCACAATATATCCAATAGTGCTGCCCTGCACTGGACCCTGAACATATTAGTTGCGCCGTCTGCTGTCATGAAATGGAGTTTCTTCGTCGAACTATGATGCCGGATCACACGAAATACCTGTATAAATATAAGGGACGAGGACTCTGGCTTATACCGAGCTCGAACCATTGTTTCATCCTTGCCCAAAAAAAGATCTTATCTTTTGGGTACGTTCTCATCCACTTTCCAATATGGCAACAGTCGAAGAAAGGAACAAAGAGGTGATTACCAAGTACTTCACAGAGTACTGGGGAAAGCTGAACCCGGATATCGTCGACGAGGTTTGTGCGGACGATGTATTCCAATCATACCCAATGCATGCAAACCCGAAGAAAGGCAAAGCTGCTGTCAAGCAAGCTATGGTGGATTTCAAGGCCGTACGTTGCCCGTCGTTCTGCAGTCGCCTGATAAATTAGCTAACTTGGAGTGTAAACCAAAGGCATTCCCCAACCTTGGCTTCAAGACCTATGGCCCTTACCCGCTCATCGCTGAGGGCGACTATGTGTTTGGTCGCTGGATCGGCGGAGGCATACACACCGGCGCGCCGTTTGATGACTTCTCCGTGGGCGCCCTCACCAAGGCCAACACGGGCAAGCAGATGTGGTTTTCAGGCATGACCATTTTCACCATGAAGGATGGGAAGATCGTCAAAGAGATCGGAGAAGAAGGCGGTCTCACTGCGTTGCAACAGCTGGGTCTTATTGAGCCACCGAAGAAGGGCAGAGAGATGTTCTATGATGTTGAGAACATGTAGAATCGTGGCAAGGAAGAAAATGTCTGGCGATGGCTTTCGAGCTGTCGATGGAGGAACGGTCGTTTTAGTATAAGCACGAGTAGTAACTGTGGAGCTCTTCACTTGCTCCCATAAACCCAGGCAGTCGGTTGTGCAGTGCAGGCTTTGCTACAGTCAGACAGCTCGACTCTTGAACATGTTCGGTGCCATGCGAGAGTTGACCATTCTCCCTCACCTAAACCGAATCGCACCGGAAACGGTGGTCTGTGCAGAGATAAAGACCCTTACCATAGAGTCTGTACCCTTCTTTGTGGTGGGGCATTTTATGTCGAAATAGCCCTCTCAAGATGAGATGTGAAGATGGGTTGAGTGTCAAGGATTTTTGTCTGCAGAAAAAGGAGGCGGGTTAATAGCGCAAAGCTAAAGCAGCATGATCCCAGAGCAGATGAGGCTAGATCTGGCCCTATATCATTCTTGATCATTCTTGGCATGGGCAGCACGAGCCTCAAAGCCAGAAGAGCGTCACCAGGTGCCTCGTACGGAGCCCAGAACCCTTGGTACTTCGTACCTTGGATCGTGTCACGATTACCGAGGGCATTCTTTCCTTCTTGCTCGCACCACGTCCCAGACCGCGTTGGATTAACTAATCTCTCGCCAACTGTTCATGATAACCATTCAACCAGACACTGAAACATGGCACCAAGTGATTATATCTCGGCGGGCTCCGGCAAACTCAAACTGAAAGGCGTGAAGGACTCTAAAGTCGATAAGAAGAAAAAGAAGAAATCTTCCTCCAAGGCCAGGGACGATGAACACTCTGCACCAGGTCAGACGATGGATGGAGGCGCCGACGATCAGTTCAAGGATCGGTCAGTCATGTTGAGAAACTTGGAGGAGGAAGATCAAAAGATAGCGAGCGACGCAGAGAAGGAGTTGCAGAGACGAAAAGCCGATTCAGCTGGACGCGCAGATGATAGGGCGGAACTGGAGGAGGAAGACGAAGGGGTGGTTGTTAAGACAGAAGCAGAGAAGCGGTATGAGGAGCAGAGACGGAGAAGGGTATGTTCTATTCATTCCCATATCCACCTTGACTTCAAACCTTTTCGTGAGGGCTTAAAAAGTTACAATGTTTGGAATCTGCAATGCCTGGTACTGACATATATGCGTTACTCTAGCTCGAAGAACGCCTAAAACGAGAAGGTGTCAAGACGCACAAGGAGCGGGTCGAGGAGTTGAATCGCTACCTTAGTAGTCTGAGCGAGCATCATGACATGCCCCGAATAGGACCCGGATAATGTGGCTTGATATTTGGAATGAACCCGCAACATACATGTTATCTACGATGCTTAGGAGGGCGAGGAGAATTGATGCGAGTTCTGAGTCCGGGGGCAGCGCTGCCATGTCACTCCATGGTCTTATAATCAGCACCAAAGGAGTTATCAGGAAACCGGTTCTTGGGCAGGCTGGATCATGCATGGGATCATGCGAAAAGCCTCATTCCCTACTACGCCTTGGTTCAATGACAGTCAAAATTCGGAATTCTTCATAGACCATATGATCGAGAGAACTTTCGATGAACAATGAATCGTCTTGTCTGGCAATTCCGCTGTATCCTCTGTTTATGTACAATGTTTCATCCACCGCCAGCGAGCTTGACCAGCCCTATGACTCTCCGAACTCCGCTCGTCCTGGTTTGGAGTTGAGGTATTCGTTCCTGCATCCACGACTACGGTCAGCATTCGACTTCGCATTCATCCGCAATTTACATTGATCTCAAGCCCAAACGTACCTCTCAGTAGCCCAGTCCATAGCGAGATACGCGACCAACAAGGGAGGGACCCAGTATAGAACCTGATTGCGTGTTCGGCGAAAAGTATTAAAGATGGCGTCGGAGATCAGGGTAGACGTTGGATTCTGTCGGTTGGGTGAAAGGGCATATGTGACAATGTTCTTTTGTGCCGGGGAGCCTGTTCTCCAGTTGTTTAGTATCTTCTCGTCTACGAAAGAAACTGGCTTGAGGCTTGATACGGTAGCCAGGGAAGAATAGATAGGTCCAAGATGGAATGCATCCATACCTAGGTTTCCCCATGAGCCCATGTATCTGTTTATCAAAGCTTGTTAGTTTACTTCGTCCCAAAAAAAGTAGAGCTGTAGACGATGTAGACGCACACTCCATTCTTTGGGTCAGGGCCGTGGCCAGCGCGAAGGATGCGAGTGGCCTGCATGCGCAGAGCTGCAGTAGGACGCATCTTGAGAGATAAAATCAGGCAATCGAGGAGAGCTCAAGAGTTGGACAAGGCGACTGTTGCTGAAGGTCAACGATCGCAGTCGAAGCTGGAGTGGAAGGAGGAGAGCTCCGAGCCGCAGGCCGGAAAATTTCTTGGCATGGCTCCGCTCCAGGCTGTGCATGGCTGCGGAGAACATTGCATCTATTGCTTCATCAAAAGTTCGTGACCCAGAGCTCGCTGTTGCATTGCATGGCGGCAGCTAGACAAGATTGAAATCAGCTCCAACGCCTCACTGAATCTCGCCCATGATGTCTGCGCCCAACGTCCTCAATGCCATCTCAAGATGGGCCATCCCCGTCTTTATTGGTGCCTCGTTAGCACAAAGTGCCATGTACGATGTAAGAGGAGGAACGAGGGCAGTCATCTTCGACCGTCTTTCTGGTGTTCAGGAACAAGTCATCAACGAAGGCACCCACTTCCTCATCCCGTGGCTACAGAAAGCAATCATCTACGATGTGCGGACGAAGCCTAGAAATATCAGCACCACCACCGGAAGCAAGGACTTGCAGATGGTGTCACTGACGCTGAGAGTGCTCCATCGCCCAGATGTCCAGAAGTTGCCCAAGATCTACCAGGCAAGTTGCCAACCACCCAGTTCCACGGTGTCACATCGCTAACAATGACCACCAGTCGCTTGGTCAAGATTATGACGAAAGAGTCCTCCCATCTATTGGCAACGAAGTCCTCAAAGCAATTGTGGCTCAATTCGATGCTGCGGAACTGATCACTCAGCGAGAAGCTGTCTCGCAACGCATCCGAGCCGACCTGACTCGTCGAGCGCAGGAATTCAACATCGCTCTTGAAGACGTCTCTATCACGCACATGACCTTTGGTCGGGAGTTCACCAGGGCAGTCGAACAGAAACAGATCGCTCAACAGGATGCAGAAAGAGCAAGATTTATTGTTGAGAAGGCGGAGCAGGAGAGACAGGCAAATGTCATTCGTGCTGAGGGTGAAGCCGAATCCGCAGACATTATCAGCAAAGCTGTGGCGAAAGCGGGAGACGGATTGATACAGATCAGAAGGATTGAGGCGAGCAAAGACATTGCCCAGACACTGGCCGCGAATCCCAATGTGACTTACCTGCCGGGTGGTGGTGATGGGGAAGGTGGGAAGGGGAAGAGCACGGGCTTATTGCTAGGCTTGAGAGCATGATCAGCACCGTGAGCCCCGGAAGAAGCTTGTACTGATATGATTCAGCACCGTCAGTGTGAACCTTGTTATCTATACTCTATGGCATTAAATGCTGGCAAAACGACCTCGAAAGGGGAGATTCTCAACTTTCACAACCAACTCTCCGCTCCCAAAGGCATTGAACGGGATCCCTCCAAACACACCCTCTTGATTGCCCAATTGCCTTACCGCTCAACCCAGCTTTTCCTGCCCTTTGACGCTTCATTATTAGCTCTTCAGAGTTTGTGCTGAGCCCCTCCACTCGGCAAAGTACGACAAGCTCTGACTTGCCAGCCGAGTTAACATGCATTGTTTCCACCGTGAAAGCCCAGCCGCTTCAATATCAAGAATATGAGGAGCTCCTGTTCCCTTCTGCGCTCTGTGGCCGTTGTTTTCCCAGCCTACGACTCTTTTCCACACATATTACACATCAAACGGATGATTCTTTCCGCATTTGCATAGCATGATATTATCTGGGACGGACAAGAGCTCCCACCCGTCCAGTGTGAGAGGAATGTTATCTCTCTCTCTCTCTTTGCCCACAAATCTCTTAGTCAATTTGCAGGCAAAGGACCGGACAAAGACCAACGAAATGCCCGGCGCACGAACACGTACATATCAGAAAGCATTGCAGAGGGGGCGAGATACGGGTACTCAAAGAAGCGAAAATAGCAACAAGAGCCTCTGTGAAGGACAAAAAAACAATGAGGAAATGTTGAAAATGTCGACGGTTCGAGTGCTGATTTCCAGACAAAGCACAAGGGGATACTGGAGGCAATGGGCCCCTCGCGGGTGATAGCCATACTCAAGTTCGAGCGTCGCTCGGAAAAGAAAATATATACACTATAAGAATCGAAGAAAAGTAGTAATAATATCCAACACACACAGAAGACAAAGCGCTACCCAGGGGAAGCTGATCTCCTCCAGTCGTGGTCCTCGAAGAAGCACACTGAAGGGGTGATCCCAGAGCTTAGCACTGGGCGTTTCAATACCCCATCATCTTCCTCCACGGCTTGTAGCTGAGCTGCTGTCTCTTGACCATCTTCTTGCTGCCTGAACCGCTCTTCGTCCATAAACTTAGCGCACCGGGTCCTCCGCACATCTCCCCTGCAGCCCCAGTACAAGCCATGTTGCACTTACCCTCATCCAACATCGGGGTCGTGATCTCGTTCCCACAGAAACACTGTCCGGCGTACTCGGTGCCTGCAATGGTATATCCGCGCGAATCACAGAATGAGACGCAGGCGTCGTTCCTCATGTTCGGCCCGTTGAAGTTTGACCATTGCGGGAGGGTTCGCGGGTTGACGGTGTCAACGAAGCAGCCGGTGTAGGACCAGGATGGGTTTGATGCCGAGGGCGTTGAGGGTGTCGAGGGTGTAGCGGAAGAAGCAGGTGAAGACTTGGATGGTGAGGTTCCGGCGGGCTAGATTTGCAGACTGTTAGATTGTCTATATTCGGTTTGCCTTTGGGTTTCCTTCTGGATCTCCGATATAAATTTGATATGAAATTGGAGAATGTGAGAAATGAAAGCGGGGATGGAGATCAGATCAAAGGGGCACAGAAGCAGCGTCAGTGGGAATAGTAGACGGTGGAGAGAATCAGGATGTAGAGGTGAAGAGGTATCGAAGAGAAGTGGTGCTGGAAGTGGGAGTGGCAGTTGTTGAAGCAGGGGAACTGGATGCGTCAGCAGCAACTGACCCTCCCGCCGAGGAGGTAACAGCGAGTGGGTAAACAGAGCCCGACTCGGCATAGTATGCATCATCGTCATCGCCACTGCCATTATCTTCATCACTGGGGGAAAGATAAGTAGAAGCTGTATTTACCGAAGCTGTGGTGGCTGGCGCCGACTTGGATGACTCTGTGGGGGCCCCGACCTTGGTGGTCGTGACTGTTGCGAGCGTGGTAGGAGAGCTAGGTGCCGTGTAAGGACCACTTGAGGAAGTAGTTGAAGGAGCAGCGGGAGGAGCAGGAGTAGAAGAGGACGAGGCAACTGGCGGAGGATTGGCATCTTGAACAGGGGCAGAGCCAGGGCCGAACTGAGCATTTTTGCATGAGTCGCCAGAGCATTTCTGGTAAAGGGAGATGGTCCCTGCACCACCACAGAACTCGGAGTCGTCGCCAGCGCACTTCATCGTGCAGGCGCCAACAACGCCAGGAACGGGCTTGCCACTATCCGGAATCGAGTTCCCGCCTGGAAAGGTGTTAGCAGTTCAACTTCTGAAGAGAATCATGAGCACTTACAATAGCATTCGTCAGCATACTCCGAACCAGCGATAGAGAAGCCCTTGCTCTCGCAGAAAGCAACACAGTTTTCATTGGTCATTTGGCCATTGGACCGGCTTGCACCAGTCAGAATACGGTTGTAGTAGTTGTCGGTTCCACATCCCATATATTCCCATCCCTTGCTGGTTAGGTCAGTGAAGAAAGTCGTGTTGGATGGAGTGATAGTGGTGGTCGCGCCACAGCCGGATTGAGGAGTTGCAGTAGGGCCAGGCTGGACAGGGTTGCAACCAGGCAAGGCTGTGAGCAGACCACTGACTTGCTCGTCGACTTGGGGTTCAATACGGCAGCCTTCGGCTTGTGAATCAGGGATGAGATCGAAAACCGGGCAATCCTCAACACGGCCGCTGTCGTTGGTGCATTGGTCAACAGCAGATTGGAGCAAATCTGGATCCCAGCCCATGACGAAGTCACCGTGGCCACCATAACCAGTGGGGTCACCCATGGACCAGACGAATGGCTGTTCATTCCCGTACCACTGATCGGCGAATTTTCCAGTGTCCCAGATGATCTCGAAGAAAATGGAGATAAGATGAACAGGAAAATCGGCGGGACAAGGACCATTGTTGTAAGCATTGGCGGGATAAGAGACGTGAGAGCTGTGATTTGGGGAATCCAAGTCTTTTCCATTCCAGCAAGATGGGAAGAAGACTTGGGATCGGAGCCCATTGGGGCAGTTATAGTTGGGAAAGTTGGGTGTTTCTGGCTTGGCTGGGCCATTGTAATCGAGACAGTTATAGCTGATGGCTTGGGTTGCGAAATCGTCACCTCCAGTGCGCTTGAAAGGATTTCCGGCAATCATACGGAAGCCAGGAGGGAAAGCCTTCAACTTCTCTCCCGCGCCAGCCCGCTGTAGGTAGTACACAGTAGCGCCGCCGACTTGGTCGACACTTTCGAAAGTCCCATTTTGGTGCCGGAAGAACAAGGCAGGGATCCAGTAGTTGCTGTAATCTCCAATGACTGTGCAAGAAGAACAAGTAGACCGCTGGGTTGAGTTATAATCCATGGTGAAATCAAACCCATTTCCCCCCATGATGGTGTGCAAGTGGCCGGATACCGCACCAGGATTGACAATAGGGTCGGCACGCTCAACGACAATGGGAGATTTGCACGGTAGCCGCCAGAAGGCTGACACCGGCGAGACGGCAAGAGCGGCCAGAAGACCGGTCGTGAGAAGAGCAGACATCTTGCGGTTTGGTGCGACTGCGGCCGAGTTGGAACTGAAGTCAAGATTCCGGGAATGATCGACTGCTGAATGCTATAAAAGAGTGGCTCTGACAAAGGACTGGATTGTACGACAATTTCGCACAGCGAATAAAGAATGGACGGCGAGGGTCTCCGACTCTCGAGCCAATAACGAATGTGTTGCGAACAAAGGACGATGTCGAATAACAATGAAAGAAGATCAGGAAACCTACCTGGGAAGCAAGGACATGATATAAATTATATATGCTCTGTACTCCTTACCAGAACCGCCGAGGTATCTAGCGCCTTCATCATGTCAATGGCTTGATGGTATGAAATTGCGGGCAAATGCCAGTCGTTACCTTTTCGGGAGCACAAGCCAGATCCTGCTGGGCCTTTGCGTGATCACAAGCTTCAGAGATATGCGAAGCTGTACAAGTGGCGTGTGCCTGTTCCACTCCGACTCAAGCGGCGGCTTACTGCTACCAAGGCGCTTGACGGCATCCAGGCCCAAATCTGTAGAGACGCTCGATACTAGCCCCGGGGGTGCATCGTGATATTCCAATACAAGTTAGTAAGGATGGGGCGGAATGAACTTCTCATAAGAATGAAGAAAAACGTGCAACGACATTGTACCATAGTGCAAGGGGTGTCTAGGCGAAAGGAAGCGAAGGGTATCCAGCCTTGGACCGATGTGGGGAAAGTCCAGAAGCTAGGAGGTTGCAAAATGGGCATGCAAGCTCAGCCGCCTGTTTCAGGAGGATGTTGACGCTAGAAAGATCGGTATAAAGGATTGAGCGTTCTCCGATCTTAGAAGGAGAGAGGTGTGTTTCAAGTTGAGCCACATGAAGGCCGACGGAAAACGAGACGGAAATATCGGGCAGCTCTGTCGACGGTCTGAGTCCCCAGTCTTGAAGAAAGAGCATCGTCAACAGATCGGATATACAGACATGCATTGGCTCCTTTCCGTCATTCTTGGATCGGCAGCCTTGTCCACCGATGATTGAAATATGCTCCTCCTTGCATGCCCGTCTGAACTGTTGATGTCGATTTTGAAAACTGCCTAGGCGCGGATTCGCGGAGATTCAACAACCAACTTCGGAACTCATTTGCGGTCGAAGGGGCTCCTGGTTTCTTGGCATCGTCCTGAATGTCATAAGTCAAATTCCCTGTCACCACTGTTAGAGATGCACCCTTTAAAAGGGGCTCAACATAATAGCCCGCATTTACAATCACAAAATTGGTTAGTGCTCCGCCTGTAGTACGGAGGACTCTGCATTGTCCCCGGGACATCCGCATTGAGTCAACAGTCAAATAAGTGAACTGCGGAACAAGTTGTTGACCATTAGGATTACATTTCCATCCGCTGTGTCGATACCCCTTTGCTTCCATCACGCTCGTCAGTCAGTCTCATCTTCGTCCTTGAGGGCACTTCGATCTTGAAATCTGCCGGACTCTCGTTCAACTCGGCCTCTCAGAGCAGCCATAGTCAAGATATCCTTGTGGAAAAGCTTGAGGCCCAACCTTCCGATCTGAGCACCCTGGGGGTCACCAGACACTCCGATGATCAGGACATCGGCCTCGCTGAACTTCTCCTTGTCTTTCAGAACCGGCAGGCGATGCTTCACTGCGTCTGCACCCAGAATGGTGGAAATGTGAGAAGTCTCCCGCTCCAGGTTTCTCAAGTCTGTTCTGAGTTGCTTCGTGAGAAAGACCGTCGTCCCGGAAAACAAATGCGTCAAGCCGTTCTTGCCTCTGCGAACGGCCTCCTTCAGATTGAAACCTCACCGCCGCTCCCGAGATCTGTCCAGCGGCAGATACTCCTCAAGAGGTGGAAATCTTTCCAGTCGATGGGTATCAACAAACCATCTCTCTGTCACTATATCCATTCCCATGGCGACAACCATGATAAACTCTCCGGCCTTCTTCAAAGTGCCTTCTGGAATGCAGAGAATTGCTGCATTGTTTATCGGTGTGCCCACTTTGCCTCCAAGGCGCTCAAACGTGTCCATTGCAATCCTTTTCTCTTGGATGCTAGGACTACCGCTAAAGATGACCACAGGGGGGACATCAGAATATTCTCCCGAGGAGGAACACTCTGTTCGCCTAGCCGGTCGTCTTTTGGCGGACGGTTGCTCATTTGAGAGGCTGCCGGCCGGGGTTGCATTTTTCGCTGCGGATTGTGGGTAAGCTCGTGGCCGCATAGTTGGTGTTTTTGTCGTCTTGTTTCTTTTCGCCCCTGCGTACGTTTTCTTATTCTTTGAACTGATGCTTACCACGACACCATCCATTGAAACGCAATCATCCGATATACTAAATTCAGCATCAGCGGTCTCCAGGCCCGACTCGGCAGACTCAGTCTCGGTGAGTTTTCTCTTTCTCTTCGCTGCTCAGATGCTAATGGAGTTGTGGCGTCGTCTGTCACTTGGCCCCGTTCTTGAGTGTCAGAGGAGCTTGATTGAGGCGGCAAAGTGTCTCCTGCAGACAGAGTGACCGAGGTGCGCAGAAACCTCTTCAATAGAGCCAGGCAAGCATTTGGTTGGCATAGCCTCTTGTTCTGCAGCTAATGGGACATTTGGCGTAAGTTGATGATTATCCAACTCAACATCTAGCTTCTGAGCTGAATCTCGTTCCCCGGCATGGACCATGTCCTGGGACGTGTCCGGGACCCTGTAGTTGCCGGGAACCTCTTCGAGTCTCTGGTTATCGTGTACGGAATTCTCGGCCGCATCCTCTACGTTGGCTGGTGGTGGAGTTTAGGAGCACGTGGATTCGCTGGACTGGCCATGGTCGCCTGCGTCTTTAACCACTATCACTGCGCAAACCGGGCTCTGCAGCTGCTCTTCAGCTGCTGAACATGCCTCAACATGTTCAGTAGCCAGTGGCAGGGGCGGAGGTCTCATAGAATTTGGGTCTGTTCCGTCCACATCTTCCTAGCGAATACCCCAGCGACCAAAAGGTCCCAAGAAATTAACGTCCGAGCGCAAGATGATGGACTTGTGGTGAGAGTCGGTGGCAAGAGGCAACTGAATGTCAATGCGACCGCCCTCAAGCACGGAGCAAGGACCGGTGTAGTTGAAAGTGCGGAGCAGGACGAAGTTATGGCGGACCTCTGCAACAGGCGGTCAGCTCTGACTGAAGAACCACGCGGCCAGGACATACCGAGGCAGATATTGGAGTGGTGCTCGTCAATCTCAGAGCTCAGGCTCATAGAATCCTCCAGCGGGTGGTTTGGAAGATAAAAAGTCGAGCATTCACCTTCAATTAGCAGTTTTGTAAGCACCTCGGAACCGGCAGGTGTGAAATAGACTAGAGATACGGCAATCATTCCTTCAACTAAAACAAGGCGTTAGACACTGGACTTAACAAATGAAACAACAGAATGAAAAGGGACCTGACGCTGATGGAGCGGTGCTTTTAGGCATTCTCCGTGGGTGGTGAGTTGTCAATTTACGATGAGCTTGGCAGCAACAAGAGTTGGAATACACAATGCCTTGATTGACAGAACTGGACGTCCGCCATCTACTAATAACCCTTCTCAAGTACATTGGAGCAAGAGCTATCTGGTATTTGACCGATTCATCGGGAAGACCATTCTGGACACCGCCCATATATACCTAGGAAGGGAATCAGGTCTGCGGCTACCTGTGTTGTATGAAGCCACCCATCTCACTCCAGACGTCCCAGCGAACCAGCAAGTTAAACAGGGAATGTGTTGATTGAAGTTGCTAGCGAGCAACAGGTCATCACCCGACGGTCTGGGCCATGCTGAAGCAGGGAGTTAGGTTCGCAAGGCTGGTAGGTGGCTTCAGTCTTGGCTTGGGCAGAAAAGGGGTAAAGCCAAGCCATTTGCATTGAGCACGGTGGTCCATAGAGGAGCCCAGACGTCTCCCTCTTGCCCTGACCTCACGCTTCGACACTGGAGAAGCCTCCAGTTGAAGTCACTGCACGTACTGCAACTGAACATCACACTCAGCACAATATCAAGCTCTTCGCTCGAGTGTGGTACGATCGTGAGTCGTAACTGAGTTGGATCTTGATGAGGTTGATCGGAGGGAGCTACTGTGTGAAGGGAAAGAACAATACTAAGCGCTTAGTATTGTTCTCGATGTCTCTGATTTCCGTGCCTCATCTCGCTGCCGGACGAGAGATGGTGATGAGGACTTGAGACACTCTGGACCACGGACAAGGCGCCGGCCACCAGGAGATGATACATGATGCTGGGGACATGGGCAGGGCTGGAGGCAGAGATGGGATACTAATGTGAGCGACAACTGAGGTTGAGGAAACGATTTCACTCACCTTCATCTCACCTTTGCTTGACTTGACTCGACTTCACCTCACTTCCGTTCTTCTTTTCTGCTTCACCTGTCCGCTATGGTCTATTCCCTCTCTGGATTGATTCCCAGCTGAAAGAAAAAAAAAAAAAATACAAACATTGTCAACGCGTCTCACTTTTCCTTCATCACTTTCTTCCTTCCACTCTTCTCACCACGCCAACAATCACTATCACTTCGTCTCCGTTATCTTCTACATTATCTCCAACTTTTTCTCAATCGCCAAACGACATCGAGTCTCCCATTGCCGTTGTATCATTACATTCGCGTCCAAATCGCCATGGCTACTGCGGCATTTGTCACTCCTGGTAGCTTACCAACTGCGGGAGTTGGGGGTGCCCTCTACGACGAGGCCTTCACTGTCCCAACCTATCCTGCAGCTCCCTTTAACAAGGTGACTTGGCGCCTCATTGACACCTGGAACAACATCAACGTCAACTATGATACCAATCGTGGAATCGCAGCCGGCTTGGTTTGGGCCACTTTGGTCTACCTGCTCGCCCTCACCCCGACGCGCAAGAGAACCACCCCCTTCCACACCTTCATGCTCATTGGTCTGATCTTGATGCTCATCAAGTTGATGATTGATATCGTCGCGGCTCTCACTCCTGGTCTCCAGTCTTCCTCCGCCTACACCTTCCTCACCCTCGACTTTACTGACAGCATCTGGACAACTGACTTCACGGCCACTTTTACCACCAGCCAAGTCACAGGATGGTTTGCCTTTGTCTTTGCTGCCATTTGTCTCTGGCTCCAGGCCAAGGGGTTGATGACAGGAATCAAAGCCCGATACCCAGTCGTCTACAAAGTCATGCTGATCTACCTTATCCTCACCTCCGTGGCTGGCCTCGCCGCTGCCATGGTATACAGCATTCAGCAGATCTTGCAGCTCGGCAAGGATGGTGCCGAAATCTACGATTTCCTCAACAAAGCATACAATGCCCGCATCGCCTACTTGGCCGCTTATACCATCTGCATTGGAAGCTTCAGCCTTGTCTCAATGGCCTCAGTCTTTGATATCGTCTGGAAGCGTCCTTCTTCAATCGTCACCGGAAATAGCGCTTACGCTTCCGCATTGAATCTCATCGGCTTATTGTGTGTCCAGTCTTTCGTCATTCCATGTAAGTGATCCCATTCCCGTCATCGCCTTCCGTCATTGAAAGTTATGGCAGTCATATTCTGCATCCTGCAGATCGTCCCCGTGCAGACTGGCATGCTGCACCCGGAGATCATGCTCCTCCCGTCGGTTTACGTGATGCTTCCCTTGGGCTCACTCTTCATGACCGTCAATTCCACTGTCGACGACGCCGAGGCACAGAAAGCTTCGCCACTTCCCCCAAACTCGATGCCGCCAAAGCCTGCCTTTGCCGACAGCGCTGCGACCTTGACTAATAGCTGTGCCTCTGCTGGTTCGCGACCCTCTTCCTATACGCTTGATGCCGTGCATGGCAAGTCGGAGATCGATCGTCAGCTCAGCGCAATTGATTCCATGGGTAGGAGCGTAACTGAAGGGAAAGAAACCGATGCAATGTTGAAGAACAAAGGCAACGAGGGAAAGGAGGCGGTCCACTCCGAGAAGATGGTGGTTTGAACCTTACAACCTTTTCTCCAGATCGCCTCACATCACATTACTCAAGATTTGAATAAGGAGATTTCCATTCGGGAACAGAACTGAATGCCACACAACGACATGCTACCCACTTGCTTGGCTCGGTCCGAGAAACCTGCATTCTTGGGAGCCATCCCCAATTCCAGAAGGCCATCTATGAATGATTTCTTCTTTGCTGGGTGATATGTTTCATAAGGTGAAGATGCACTTACGGCATGGGGCTGCATGGATCACTGGAAACTGTAGCTAGTCACGGCGGGCACATCAGTAAAGGAGACATGAACATGGAAATAGCAAGCATGGACAGGGACGGCGCCTTTGATGCACAGATCCACATCATATGACAAGATCAGCAACAAGAACGAAGCTTCAGTCTGCACCAGGCTGCGCTGAGCTGGATGGAGCGGTGGAGGACGGAACAACCGTCTTCGTGATCACATAACTAGCTAGCCAGCCGCAGAGAGAGCTTTCTGAGCTTGTCAAACATCAACATGGTATCTGACCAAAACAAATCCAGACGAGAATTTTACCTGGACATCGTCTCTGCTTCTTGCTTCCTCCTCTTAGTTGAATTTACTGGCCAGTCCAAGTCTATTTACTACCATGGTGCAGGTTTTAAGCGGGAGAGGTTGTCTATTAAGTTGTGGGGCGAGAGAAATATTGTCGCTCATATTATTCGTGTCCTCTTGTCAGTCATTCCTATAATCATACCAACCCAGGTCAGACGGCCACTCTCCTCTTGACCAATCTCACCCAGCGTCTCCTTCTCCATTCCCCGGTCCTCCCTCGATTGTCCACCTTCGTTGCCTCTTCCCAATCCCTCACTGCCCCACCCTTGTCCTTCTTGTCCCTCTTTTCCCGCTCCTTCTCCCTTTTCTTCCTCGCCTTTTCCTCTTCTTTGGAATTGTTTTGCACACCTACTCTAGGAACATCATAATCCCCGTAAGCCAGCCATAGGTCATCATCTCTGTTAACCCCGGACCCCGGCGGCGGCGGGAGATCCCACACCCACCCGCCAAAGTCGAGATTGATACTTTCTCTTCGGTTTGTGCTGATCCTTCTCAGTGTCGTACCACTGCCATGTCTGTTGCCATCTTTCCCGTGGTCTCTGGGCCCAGAAGCGGCTTGAGCTGACAACAGCCTATCGATATCATGAGAGTCGTGGTTGAGAACATCGTACCCTACGCCTACGACGAGTCTCTCATTTACCCACTCCCCAGCTTCGAGGTCTAGCTCCCATTTTTTGGAGGCCCACTCCCATCCGTCTGGCGGTTCGACATCTTCGAAGAACCGCGTACCCCTTGGCCTGTCGCCTGCAATTCGTGCTGGGGAGAGAGGGTCATAGGGAGAAGGCGTGAAGAGGTGGGGCTGCCATTCAGCTGCTTTGTCACTAGAGGAAATACTGGCTAAGGGGCGATGCTGTAGCTCGAAGATCTCGACTTCCCTAGTCTCTGGCGTCGTTGACAGGGTAATCTCAGAGAATGCAGTGAATGCAGACTGAATCGCATACGGTGTGGCGGGGAGGGGAATGCCGTGGATGTACTTTTGATGTTTCAGGTTAGGGTCATTAAGGGCGAGGGTTGTTTCAACTTCGGCTTGTTTTTGCATTTTCAACAACCAGGCCTGTGCCTTCGGGTGGGAGGAGGTGATGATAGCCCACCCTAGGATGAGGAAAATTAGTCGCCAGGGCAGCAGGTGTGCAGTGATAAAGGATAGCGTGGTCAGGATGATGAGATACAAAAATAGTTGGGAGGAAAACTGTTCGTCTGAGAAATTCGTCGCCGGCGTGACATTTGCCACCAACCAGTCGTGGACGTTACTAAAGTCAGCCATGCTGTTCTGTAGATCACGCATGTTGCGGAAGAAGTCCTTTGAGGTTTCAGAGGCAGGCTTTATGACAGCGGCGGGGGCGAGGGCTGGGCCCGTGTAGGCCTGATGGTATTCTGTCGTCATGTTGGCGCTGCTGGTTGTCGACCTGGGAGGCGGTGGATGGCGAGAGGTGAATGCCGGGATCATGATGTAGAACAATGCAATGGCCAGCGGCACCACAACGAGGAGATACGGGTCGAGACAGATAAATGAATATGTTGCTAGGAGAGACAAGGTGTGTGTGGGCTTCCGCCAGGTGAGGAGGCGGTTGATGCGGTTCTGGAAGACGAACACGATGCCGATCCGGGCGTTGAAGCGGCGGAAGTTGTAGGTCATTAATGGCAGGCTAAATGCAGGGCGAGAAACAGATGCGCTTGAGTGGAGGTGCGTTGGAGTGGAGGACGGCTCATCATGACCATCGTCGGTTGGGACCACTTGTTGAAGGACTCTGAGAGAAATTGATCAACATTCGTTATATGACAACTCAAATCCTTCACATCCCTCAGAAAGACGCGCAGGGCCATTGGGAAGAAGTTGGCGAGCGAAAGGGGATTCATACTTTGAAAACAGACGATCCTGAAGAGACATTCTCCCTCCCGAAAGGGGCGTGGATTCATTTCTCTCGGGCGGAGAAGTGGCGCTCTCTTGAAGCCGACTGTTCAAGCGCGAAGCTGGCCGCGCTCTCTTCGACTTCTGCCTCTGGCTTGCGATATCTGCTTCGGAGGACGAGCCGTCCACATCGCCAGGCGAGCCGGCGATGAGCGGAAGGGGCTCGTCGCGGTTGGCGAAGGCTTCGGCTGTATATTCATCCATCATGAGTATTCTCTTGTTTGGACCTATTCTGCCAATCTAGACGATGGTCGGAATTGATTCGCAGGCAGAACCATGTTTCACGGGGTCGGGTGATGACCAAATGGAAGTCGGAGGATGCAAGGTTGGTCGGTGTTGTCAAAGTTGGTGGTTGACGAACCTGTGGACGAGTATATGGCACGTGATGCCTCCGCCACAGGTGGCCCGAGTCATGTGTGGCTAAAGCAGTGATTCCGGCTCTCTGTGATACGAAACACAGGTTTGGCTTTTGTCCGCGATACCTGGGCACCCTGCATCCCGCTCCCCTATCCATATCCTTGCACTGCACCGAGAACCCCGGGATTTCCCACGATGCTGAGGCTTCACCAGAATGTGTAGCGAAGCCATTGCAAGGAATTTAACTTGCTTAATATTAACCATCGCCGTGGATCGATTCGAGACGAGATTGCAGAGGCTGATTGCCCAGCAGATGGCCATGTTAGAGGACGGTTTTGTTTGGCGGCCAATCTCTACATCCACCTAGCCAGCTAGGGCCTGCTAGGGCGGCTAGGCTGAGTTAAGCCTCTGCAGCACACCCAATGCAGGAAAGCCACACCTTATAGTGGGAAATCCGTTTGGCTCCTCCACTGGTGCCACTGGGGATCGCCTCCCGTAGAACTTTTAGATGCCCTTATCAGGACTTAGGGCGAGCCCAGCTCAGGCACACGGTCACCGTAGCCATGGGTGCTGCCCCCCAAACCCCTGTCCCGCTCCATCACTTGCTAGGTCCTCTTCGCAAGCCCAGAACGGATGGACCTGCGCTGTTTCTCTTGTCGGGCCAGGTCTGGGAGGGTCGCTTTTTGGCAGTTTGATTATTGTCACCGCAACATCAAAGATTTCCCATCAGACACCCTACCCTGGACAGACAACAAGTCCTCTCAGCGTCATTTAGCATCTGTGTCTTGAGACCGCTCTGAGATAGGGGTCCTTCGTGCTTGTCTTTCTGATCTCATCCCATCCCATCCGGTTGCTCGGAATCCTCCCCTGACGACATTCCAAAGCACGCGTCCACCACGTCGAACTGTTGTAGCCCACGTACCAAGACGGACACCCTGGTCCACTTTCTCAGACGAGCTCGCGACAGGGTCGATCTGACTTGCAACTCTCGCTGCAAACCATCTCTACCATCCCCCATGGACTGAACACCAGGCTGGTGTTGCAATGTCGAGGCTCCGGCACTGAAGGACGGGAACACTGTATGTGAAAGAGACAGGACAGGGGCCGTGGCACCTCTCTCGCCATGCCTTACCGACAGAATGAATCTGCAACTACACAGCTGGGCAATGGGAGGGCTAGTAATACGAGGCCCGACGACGTGGATAGCAGTGGTGGTACGAACTTGATGCAATGTCACTGGATGCCTGCAGGAGATGGACCCCAGCTGACTATGTGTGACAATGCAGTCGCCGTCGCGGGAGTGGACACTCTTCCCTCCTCCAAGAAGCAGCCGCCCTCTTCCTTCCCGGCCGCATCCATGACAGTATCGACAGCGACCACTAAGCGCGACTTTGGTGAAAATGTCACGACAACTCGCAGGAGACAGTCGTCCATCCCCAACGCCGCCAAAGCCCCAATGGGTCCGCGTCCCTTGGATTATGGCAGCCTCGGGAAAAGGTGGGCATCGCAGTTTCTGTCCATAGTCTCGTTGAAAGCTAACAAGCGCCTGCTCTGTCCTAGGTCGGCTAGCAATTCAATAACTCCCCAGTTTAAGTCTGTACGAGGCGCCTCCGCCGTTGCTTCCCACGATCCATACACCAACGAGCTATCCATCAACGACATCTCCAGGTTCAGTTTTGCATCTATACAGGCAAAACCTCCAACGCGAGACGACCGTGATGGCTCATTGGATTTTGGGGACTTCCTTGAGCCGACATTCAACTTCGACGATTTCCAAGACACAATTGTTGGCACCGAACCCAGTTTGAACCATTTTCCTCTCCCTGGCCGAACTACAACGGTCAAAGCTCCTCCCCCATCTGAGACATCTGCACCCGACCAAAAGAAGATAGTCTCACAACCCACTATTCCTATACCCTCTCGAAAAGGATCAGGGGTGGTTCCAGTGACCCGTAAGAGTTCTACAGCGTCGAATAACTCGAGGAATTCGGTCAAATCCGACTCTATGGCCACTGCCACAACTTCGATACTTCGAGGAAGAAGACAAAGCCATTTCCCGCCCAATTCGTTTAATAACGCAAATGGTGCTCCCAAAGCACCGAGGAAATCCGTGGGCCCAGGCACCTTTGTCGCCCCAGATAATTCAGAGAAGTCAACAGTGAGGAGAAGACCAAGCGCGGGTGGAAGGAAGTCGAGTACGGAATCCGGCAAGAACTTGTCTCTGAAACATTTGTCCGGCCGATCAGAAGAAAGCGGTGCGGAAGATACAAAGACGACAAGCACAACCAAATCAAGGGCATCATTAGCACCTAAAAGACAAAACTCCAAAGACTTGCTTACACCTTCGAGGACACCAGATCCATCGCGGTCGACTTCTACTGCAGCTCATCACACACCTACGAGAAGGAGCGGGACGCCCGGCAGAACAACCACTCCAGGTGGAAATGCTGACCGTAACCGTCGGATTTCAGTTATGCCCCATCATGCGACCGGACTAGGAGCTCGTACCGTCAGCCCGACAGATGCTCGACGGATGAAACGAATGTCGATTGTGCCCCCAGCACCGCCCTTGCCTCAAAGCCGGATCTCCCAAGCTCCTCCAACTCCGCAACCTGAGCCCGTGCCCCAGCTTCCGCAGTCCGATCTGCAGTCTCCCGCTATTCCGACTCGCAAGAGCTTGACGCCGTCATCTTCGAGGACCACTCCGGATCCCAATCGAAAATCCTACAGCTCAGGTCAATCTCTATCGTCAAATACCAGTTATAGCTCTGTCCGAAACACTATCACCAACCCTGCCAGACTTCCGCAGGCGGTCAACTCATCAAGATTGCCTACAGCGAAACCCAGACTTGATATTTCCACAACTACAAACTACGAATTGGAAGTGCCGCCAGTCCCCGCCATACCAAAAGCTTACGAGTCTCCTGGAAGTGAACTTGATCAACCCTTCTTCTCGGCGAGGTCTTCCAGTCTTCCACCCTTTGATGGGGCTATCTCTGCCAGCCCGGTGGTCTCTACTGTAGCTGATGCGATGAAGGCGCTAGAGACGCCTCGCGTGTCTAGTAATTCGTCGTCGCCTAACTTTGCCTCTCAGCTCCAGCCTCCCTCAGTCGAGCCCGAGCCCAAGCCAAAACTGCAACCACAGCCACATCCACAGTCGCAACAACAGGCAAAAACGAATAAGAAATCGCTTCAGACACTTAGGCTACCGCCATTGAACCTGTTGCCTTTGAGTACACCTACCTCCGCGAAGATCAGGTCGCTTAACACCAAGTCTGATTCTGGCGAACCTCCTGTGACACCACCTGGAATTCGCAACACCATGAAAACGCCGAGTACACCTATGACGGCATCTAAAGCAAGTTTCTTTTCTAGGGGACATAAACCTGCTGATGAGGGTCCGACAATTCGGAGTAGCACTTCACATCACGCTCTACGGACGGATGAGATGCGGCCGCCCAGCGATATCAGTCCGAGCTTGCCGGTATTCTCGTTCGAAACAGACAAAACACGGACAATTTCGCCATTTGTATCTTCATCCCTGCCCAAGAACAATGATGAATTTTCGAATTACATGCGACCCAACTTCACCAACGAGCTGAATAGGAACCCAAATCAGCCGCGACCAAACGGACCTCGTGCTCCTAGCTTCTCGGTAACACCGAAAGCTGAAACTCAAGTTATCCCAAGTCCAGCAGAGAAGCACACTGAAAGCGATTCTGTGTTCTCCACCACATCACTCAGGAGGAAATTGAGTCGAAAACGGAGCGAATCGAAGTTGCCAGAAACGGTAATACAGGATGATGACTTGTCCAAATATGACAATATGCCTCCGCCAAAGCTTCCTGCATCCGCTAATTGGACAAATACCCAGGCTGGTGCTGCAAGCCCTCAACGACCGTCCTATCTCAGGTCTAGGAGACAGACATCTACCTCAAGTACGCATACTGGTCCCGAACGGCAAGAGAGCTTCGATAGTACCGCCTCAAACGGTCGTCCGTCACTTGAGTTTGGGAGAACTCTCATGGTTAATTCGAACCGGTCAGGATCTGTATCAGCTAGCACACCTAATCTTGTTGCTCACAAACCTCCACCACAACGGCAACAGGTACAACCTTTGGACCGCGATGATCTGATTGCGGAGGATGAGATGAAGAAGCTTGCTTCGAAGAGAAAAGACTTTGAATCAGCTGCACGGGACTTAGACAGCCTTCGGGCCAGAGCCAGGCCTGCCACTCGTATGTCCCACGTCACCGCTTCGCGCATTTTTGAGTTGAACATCTTTGAGCGAGGCGAGATCGTCGACTTCCCGGACATATACTTCACTGGAACTCTGAACGCCCGGAAAATTGTGGGAGACTTGGGCTCAACCTCCACAAACTTTGGATATGATGATGAACGTGGAGATTACAACATCGTTGAAGGGGATCATCTGGCCTACCGGTATGAGGTTGTTGACCTTCTTGGTAAAGGCAGTTTTGGACAGGTTGTGCGCTGTGTTGATCACAAGACTGGAATCCTCGTTGCAGTAAAGATCATTCGAAACAAGAAGAGATTCCATCAACAGGCTCTTGTAGAGGTCAACATTCTGCAAAAGCTCAAGGAGTGGGTAAGTCAAGAGGACGAACTGTTGGATGCTCTCGACCACTAACCTAACATCAGGATCCTCACAAAAAGCACAGCGTCGTCAACTTTGATCAAAGCTTCTATTTCCGCGGCCACCTTTGCATCTCCACCGATCTTCTAGGCATGAACCTATACGAATTCATCAAAGCTCACGATTTCCGGGGGTTTTCATTGAAACTGATCCGACGATTCACGAAACAACTTCTCCAGTGTCTGGTCCTTCTGCAACACCACAAGGTCATCCATTGCGATCTCAAACCGGAAAATATTCTCCTCGCGCATCCCGTTCATTCTGAAATAAAAGTGATTGATTTTGGTTCGAGTTGTTTCGAACACGAGAAAGTGTACACCTATATCCAATCCCGATTCTATCGATCACCCGAAGTCATTCTGGGAATGTCTTACGGCATGCCAATCGACATGTGGAGCGTCGGTTGTATTCTGGCGGAGCTTTACACTGGCTATCCGATTTTCCCGGGAGAGAACGAGCAGGAGCAATTGGCTTGTATTATGGAAGTTTTTGGCCCACCGGAGAAACATCTCATTGAGAAGAGTAGCCGGAAGAAGCTCTTCTTCGATTCGATGGGTAAACCCCGCTTGACGGTATCTTCTAAGGGAAAGAGAAGGCGACCGAGCTCCAAGGATTTACGACAAGTCTTGAGATGTGACGACGAAGCATTCCTAGATTTCATTACTAAGTGTTTGAAGTGGGATCCGGCACGAAGGATGACCCCTCATGAGGCGAACAAGCATGAATTCATCACTGGGATCAAAATGAGCTCGAGCACGGCCAGGAGGAACACCCAATCTGCCGTGAACTCTCCCGTCAAGAGAGGGAACTCCTTGACCACCTCAGTGGGCGCCAGACCACTACCACAACCTCCAACGACTCTGAAAGCGCCAATCTCGAGTCGGCAGGAGACCTCACCAAACAAAGCGGGGCCACGGCGTCAGTCAACCATGCAAGGGACTTTTCAAGGAACGTCGCAGGCCAAACGTGCGTCACACGCAGCAATGAATTCCTCGACGTCAAATTCGAGTCTAACGAGGCTGACTGTCGGCCAAAGGAGCATGACGAACAGATCTGATTTAGCTGCAGCTGCTGCGGCTGCCAGTCTGGTGAAGTAATGAAGTGATTTTGAGGGTCTATCCCGGAACTTGGCTCCTGTTGCTGATGGATGTTTATCTCTTTTATATCATGCGGTCCACACGGGACGGGGAGACGTGGATGAAGACGAATTTCTTACTATCATTAATGAACATATAAAAGCCTTCAGCATAGCACAAGAATTGGGGATGGGCCTGGCCCCGCCACAGGATGACGATGGCTCCAGGAATTGGCGCATGTCATTGCCACGAGTTGGACGGCTTGGGCAGAGCATCTGCTGAGTCTTTAATATTGTATACCACGAATGAATCAGAATACTTGGGGCCCTGCCTTTTATGTTGATCTTGCTTGATATTGGTGGGATATCATCATTGTGATCGACGAAATTGTCGTCGGAGTGTTTCGGGGCCCTTTACACCTCAACTCTGGGCGATATAATAGAACGCTCTATTCGCTGGGAGACTGGTATGCAGCTTTTTGATTTTCGCGAGCGGACGAGAGACGAGGGTCAGGAATGATGTGAGAATCGCTTCTGAAAAGCGTGATCGCAACGGATAAATAAGTGGTAGAGCGGTATACCGCGTGATGAAGTTCCTGTCTGTGGCAAAAGGAGACTCTTAGGGCAGACCAGAGAGAGCACTTGCGATGGCCATCGCTCGCGCTTGAATTAGTGAATAACTTCAATTTCGCAGCTTGACGGGGGCCATAACTGGCCTCCTGAGGACGCCGTACAGACCGGCCAAAAGCAAACCAGAGTTGTCGGAGGCGAGGCTCGCCGAAACTGAATAGTATCAATCAATATTAGCCCTCTGCGGTGACACAATATTCTTAAAAAACATAGCTGTGGTTCTGGTTCTCTGGAAGGGCAGAGGAACGAGGAAGCCGACCGTTGTGACGTGGAAACCCACAAAAATGCCAGCCTGGTCAGCAGCGCAATGTGAGAGATTGAGAAAGGCATTGAGAACTCTCAGGCGATTGGCATGAAATCCGTTCCAAAAGCACGATAGGAAGCAACCATGTTGAAGTGGATCGTTCGTGGCGAGGTGCACATAGATCGGATGACGAGAGAAATTCAAAACTGCTTCGCGGCAGGATTTGGTAGATGTTGATATTGATTGCATTACCGAAACCACAAAAAGAAAACATGTTCAAAAGGACCCATTCCCTTTGCGCTTACCGCCGTTCTGCTCGAAGCAGAGAAGCGCAGCTGACGGAAAACAGCCCACAATGGAAATGGGAGACCAAAGCTCATGCACGCAAAACGCTTTTCTCGTCTCATTGTATGTACCATGCCGTATCCCCATCAGAAGAGTCGTTATTGGAGTTGTTAATCGGCAGCAGAGAGACTAGTGCCGTATTGATTCATGGCTTACATGCGTCGTGTCTCGAGGGTGGCAGTGGTAGAGGAAATACTGGAAATCGGTGTGAGAGTTTTCGGTGCTTAAGTAGTCGTCCCACTCGTCGTTCATTGTCTTCTCTCTCTCTCTCTCTCTTGCATTCCACACCGCTCTATGCTCTTCTCCAATTATCACCGTTTAGCAGCATTCGGCGAAACACTCGCAGCAGTCGGCGCAGCATTCACACCCCTCTTCACATACGAAGCAGCAGCAGAGGGCAGCAAGACTGTCAGATAGTGTTAGCAGCGATATGTCTCCAGCCGCCTTTTTCTGGCGTCATCAACGCAAGCGGAAGGGGGTATGATGCTTCTTACCAAGCGCTCAAGCATCCACGGTCTGACGACTGTCTAGGTGCGGGTTGTGGTGGAGGATAGTTTTGGGGTTGTTGGTATGGCATGCCGCCTTGCGGTGGATAGTAGCCTTGTGGAGGGCCTTGAGGCGGGTAACCTCCGCCATAGCTATTTGAGAAGAAGAGTTAGCGGAACTGTGCAAGGGGCAAAAGTGGTCATGTAAGTCGAATTGCGGTGACGACGGTGTGTGAGAGCGCTGGCACAGGAGGAAGGCAAGCTCCTTCTCGTGCGTGTTAGTGCCTCTTTCTCATCGCCAGGCGAGGTCTCAAGTGCAGAACGACATGGTTGTCTGGCGGCAAGACAAATCTCGATTTCAATTAGAACAACTCACCTTTGGGGAGGGTACTGAGGACCACCTTGGTAGTACTGTTGGCTGGACATTGGGGGAGTGGTTGCCTATTAACTCAGGTGCCGATGAAAGGTAGGCGGAAAGTACGGGCTGATGAGCTTGTGATGACTGCGAGAACTGAGAAGTTGTTCGCAAAACGAATGAATTGGGAATTCAATGCAATTTGAGGTGGAGGTGGAGGTGGAAGAAAGAAGAGGGTCTCTCAAGTGGTCAGAGTGACAGGGCAGACGGAGGCACGAGGTGCTTGACAAAAGCTTGGGCGGCGAGCCTAGCAACGAGAACCTACTTGTAGGGTACTGGGTACGGAGTAGAACCTCCGGGGAGCCACTAGGTGGGACTTCGGGGGCGGCACCTTGATTCTGCGGAATAAGGGGGGCTGGCGTTCTTCAAGGGTGCTGTTACAGATCGTGTCTGAGAATCAAAGTGAGAAAAGAGAGGTGTTCCTGCCTTTTGACATACTGCGTACGAGGTACCTCGTACGAGGCACTCCGTACCCATGCGGGTTTCACACATCCTCGAATCTGGTGGGCAAGAACGAATTTCGCCTCCCACCAGCCATTGGGCATTGGATTGACTGTCGTTTGCTGCTTCCAACTGCCTTATTGCGCAACCCATGCAGGCGCAGCTGAGAAAGAACCCACCCAAGACCACCCCATTGACACCCTCAACCGTGCATCATCCAGCACCCATCACTCCCTCTCATCCCGCCATCGGCTACCTGCTCAGCCACATCCGGGATCCCAGAAGCAAATGAACAGCTGAGACCTGGCCAATGATACGCCCAGATGATTGTCTGAATCTCCAGCCACGCCGTCGCAACACCTGCACTAACAAGTGCATACCCTCAGGGTCGTGCACATGTCCTATGCGTTGGCTCACGCCAGCTCCTTGAGGCGCGAACTCATTGCGCCTAGAAATCGCTCACAGCGACCTCGGCAGCTCCCAGCACGAGCCAGAGAAGTGTCTAGGGCGTGTTCCTCGTATGGAATGCTCTGATACACCCAAAGAAGATTTACAGAGAAAAAACCACTAACTTTTGTAATTCAGTACCTGACCCTCCCTAGTGATTGACTGGTGCAAGAACACAATGATCCCCGAGACAGCGCAAGCTGGACTTCATGACAAGAAGCACTTCATCAACTAGGTCACTCAATAATGAGAATAAAACAAGCATGCAGTATCCATACAAGAGTCCAACCCGAATCGTCCCACCCGCTGCGATACCAAAAATCCCTCCTGGTCCTTCGAGGTCGTGTACATTCCAGAAAGAGAAGGGTAAATGCAGTCTGAAAGCCGCAAGGTAACAATCAATCATCTATGTACAAGAGGATGAAAAATGGAATGCGACAGCCACGTCTTCCTCTGTGTTGCTTCGTCATCTTCGTGTCAGTGGTCGTTAGTCGTGGCGTCGTTCAATATTGCCGAAAGCCAAAGTTCGAGCCCTCCGCGGGGAAGACAAAGCCGCTTGCGCTGTACATTGCATCCTGGGGCATCGACATGGTGGCGTTGTTGACAAAGTTCTCGGCAGCAAGAATGTTGTCGTAAAACAACGGCTCTTGGGTGAGATCTAACATAGGCATGCCCGCATTCTGCAGCATGTCGTTGTCGCCGGTAAACTCGAAGTTGGCACTGCTCGTAGTGCTGTTGGCACCGTTATTGTTGGCATTCGAGGCGCATTTGATATGTTCGTTGACAACTGCAGGCTGGAAGGTCGTGTTGGGGACATTGATGTCTTGCACAATCACGCGGCCGTTGACATTGAGTTCCAGCTCTTCGTACATCCAGTGCTTGAGGAACTCCATAGGTGGTGTGTTGCCACCACCCATGCCGCCGCGACCCTCGCTTTTCTTGCCCCGGCCGCCACGTCGGTTCTTGCACGGGTTGAAGTGTGCGCGACGCAAATGGGCGGCGGCGTTGTAGTTGGCGCCGTAGGTCTTGCGGCTGCGGCATGCCTTGCAATTCGACAAGAACTTGCCATCGGTCGAGGCGTCTTTGCAGATCCAAACCCGTCGCACTTGGGAATGGTGGCGCTCAATGTGTCGACGAAGCTCATGATCGCCGTGGAAGCCCTGGGGTTGATCGTTACAGAACTGACAGAATGTCGTCTTACGTGGAGGCTGTTGTCGGACTGTGCGTGTGATCTCTGCCTTGTGTTTTACTGTACCGTCCGCTCCTTGAACAGCAACAAGTCTGGGTGCTGGCATCTCCACTGGTTGCAATGATGCCTCCTGAGCACGCTCCATCTTGGGAGCTAGAGGTCGTGAGACTGTGTTACTGCTACGAGGAATGATTTCCTGCGGAATCCCTCGCGTCGATGAATGAGACTGAGACAAAACAGAAACAGATGAAGCATCGCTTCCAGAGGAAGGCGACTTCTTCATCTCAAAACTAGAAGGAGACGACGATGACTGAAGCTCATCATCCTGAAAAGACAAATGGGAAAACTCGTTGTAACCGAACCCGGTTCCAACCACAGAAGAGGAAAAAGGAAATTGTTGAGTCGACTCAGCATCCCGGGGATACTGAGAATCAACCATCATGCTGCGCGAGGCTTTGTGATCTTTCGGCATCGACATCGAGTCCATGCGAAACATCCCAAAGCCTTCACAGAGAACATCATTTGTGTTGCTTCGAGACATGGGCTCCGACAACACTGTTGACGGAGCCGTCACGCTCGAATCACTAGTGGCCGTCATCGGAGTAAACACTCCTCCTGGCGACTCTATTGCTGAAGAATACGGAGACGTGAGCTGAGACATCCGGTTGATGTGGAACTCACCGCGCTCCACAGCTATGGGAGGCGTCAACGAGATAGTTGGTGTCTGATAGTCATCTTGTGACTTGGCGAGGAAGTCTGCGGGAGACATGTCCTGGACCTCCTCAATGAAGTGAAGGTTGGGTCCCATGTATCGATTGGGGTAGGAGCCAGCCGTGGAACCTCTTCGTTGCCAATTGTTGCGTCGCGGGATGGGCATTGGCTTGGTCGTGGTCGTGGTCGTGGTCGTTGTTGTTGTCGAGGTCGTGGTCTGGGGGAGGGGTGAAGTTCGAACCGAAGGTCTACCTTGCTGGGTCCTTGAGGCAGACTGGCCAAGTGGTGCTGAGATATGTCGCTCAAGTGAATGGGCCGTAGGTGCCGAAGAAGCCAAAGATGCTACCTTCTTTTCTCGTCCGTCAACCCAAGCAGAGTGGTTAGTCAATAAGGGTACATACATGGCCGCTACGTTTGGGCGCTGGTTCCATAACACCAACCATCACAGAGGATGCAGGTCGCTTTGAGGGAACCGAAGTGCCAAACTCGTGTGTCGAAGGGGAATTCCTCATCTCAGCATTAATGGAGTTCCAATAGCGGGAGACCTGTTCGAGCTCGTCGGGCGACAGGTGTGGGATTGTCTGTTCGTATGCGGCACGACATGACCGAAGAAGCTCGATGACTTGATGAGCACCAGAGTCCATGTTGTCGGCCAAAAAGCAACCAAAGGGGTGACCAATTGAAAAGGTGATGGCACTCCAAAAGAATGGCAAAGGCCAATCTGAGGTTTCGGTCAGCCAATTGAGGCCCAGACAGTCAGTTTGTCCTCCGCGATAAATTCAAAGACTCACAGTTGATGTTCAAAGGGTAATAGAAGTGGTGGAATAAGACAACAAAGGCCTTCGGAATCCGATGAACAAGGGATCGACGAAGGTGAAATGATGCGGTGCCGGGTGTGTCAAAATTTGGGTGGGAAACGGCCTTGGAAGAAGAAAGGAGGGACAGACTCGGGGTGTTATAGGACTCGTCTCTCGCCAACGGAACGCAAAGAGGAAACACGAGACAGCGTGGGGAGGGCAGTTCTGACAGAACATGTGCCAGGGAGTGATGGTAGACTGCCGCTTGGGCAGAGCAGGTTGACGACAAAACAAGTCGGGCAACACGTCCCCGGGGAGGGGGAGTCCTCCTTTGCTGATCTTGGGGAGTTTCCAGGATGCCGTGGGCAGAAGAAAGTACCCGTCGCTCTGAGCCCTGGTCCGGACGCCTGTTTCTAGGCACTCTTTGAGCCTAGATGCGCCCACCTCCCGCGGGTTCCATTCGCCTGTTCCATGCCAACTGCTTCCGGACGTATCTGGGCGCGGGTCAACCCTTGCACCAGGCTCAGCCGAATTCAACGAACTTCCTTGCGAGCGACCCGCAAGCCCCATCGTTCCATTCGCAACACAACAGTGAGCGGATCTCCATTGGCTGCCTATGAGCTTCTCCAACGACGATGATCACGGATTCCAGTGGGCGCGCCATTGGGCGTCTGCACGCTGCTGCAGCCGTTCTTGGTTGCCTCACTTTGAAATGCAGTTGCTCGTCGAGTCAGAATGTTTGTCTGACGGAAGTTCGTGCCCAACGTGGTTCGGAACAATGGTGATTCGTTGTTCAAGAACACGGGCTTGTGCATAATCTCGAGTTCACCCATCACATGAGCCTAAGCACAGCAATCAACCCGGTTGACCATTTGGTTTGGCTCGTCAGTGCCCCCGAGTACAGTGACACGCACACGGCCGAAGCAGGGTCGTGATGGAAAGTACTATGACATGCATCAGCTGCCAAAAGGGCCACCACAGTGGCCCGGAAGAAAAGAACTTTGCGTTCTCTGTGTAACCACCCCAAGAGGAAGAGGTCAGCGTGGAACCGATCCAACCGGAGGAGACTGTGGACGTTGCAGGCATGGTAGCTGGTGCAGCAGTTCATGTGCGGTCTCTCACAATTTGGAGAACCTGTGGTTCACGTATCTCTTCGCTTAGGGGCAATGGAAGCAGGTACCTGGCCGTGGACTCGATGGCTGATTTGCTGGCGCAGCTGCGCTTTGGAGCCCAACGCGTCTTCTGCTGTATAGTGTCTCGTTATCGTTCATGAGTCACTACACCTCGACGGTGATATCTGTCAATCCAAGGGAACGGCAGTGCCGATTTCCGCAGCATTGGTGTTCGATCGAGATGCTGGCGCAATTGGCGACGAGGTGGCAGACTGCAATTTGCAGTTCATCAGCGATGGACGTGAACGAGCTTCGTCTCAGAGTCGACAAGGCTATTTTGAGGGATGAGAGCGCCATCACCTGATAGACGAGATGCTCAGCGATGCTTCGCACTGAGCAACTTGATATGTAATCGCGCCACTCTTCTGGTTATCATGATTGAATTGTACTGTACAAGCAAAGATCTGATGTAGAATCGCAAGACAGCCTCAGCTGCCAAAGTGAGTGATGGACTGAAACGACAAAGATTTTCCAAATTTCCACTTGAGGATCCTCAAGTTGATCGTTGACCCATCGATCACCCCCATGCTTGTGCCTGCTGATCAGGTGGTTGGGATCGCAAGCTTAAGCTGCCGTCTCTTACACGACGCCAACGGCCGTTTGTTGGATGACGCACGACGATGGACTGTAGATCAGTGATGGACAGGCACGCAATGGTGGCAGTAGACAGTAAGGTAGTACAATGAGAACATGGCCGGCGGCATGTCCTACCAACAGGCAGTAGTCTCGACCCAAAGAATAATGGCTAGTGAGGCGGTGATGGTATGTATACGAATGGACCGCAGGCCACGGATCTACCACCCTAAGCATTCCGTTGTACTTACTCTGTACAATCGAGCTGTGACGCTCAGTTCCCGGATAGACAATGCTTTCCCAGGCCAGACATGTATTCCCAGAGTTCATTATCACTCACTCTCCCCATCTACGGGGTACACGACTAGCTCTTGCTCTTGAATTTACCTCTCCTGGCATAATGTCCTAGCCTGTCTGTAGGCTTTTGCGAGGTTGCTTCATCTGCCGCGGAGGATGAACGGAACCGCACTCTCAGCTTCGACTTCAGAAGCTTCATGGCTTGCCACCTGTCCATGCCCATGCCCAAAGACCAATGATAACTGCGTGTGGTCGCCATGGTCAGTTTTTCATTATCCAAAGCCACATCCTTGTCGTCCCTGATGATCCTGTCCATGGGCATTTCGCACCACTCTCTCATATCCACCTTCCGCAGCCACGCAGAGCCGGAGTCCAACAAATCCTTAATCCATAGCATATATCCCTCTCAAGATGCATTGCTTAGCAGGGACATGTGGATTGCAAAGCACCTCAGCGCACCCTGGCAGTAAGTGTCCATAACCGTCCCTTTGCACAGTTGTGACATTAAGCAGCAGACCACCAATCACGTCAAAGGGTGATGCCCAACATTCTCTTGCTGCATATTCCGTGGTAAGTGCTGTTGAAATCTTCCGTGGCGCGCACTAAACTGTTCGATTCGCTGTCCCTCTACTTGTAGCTGGAAGTTTTGACGAGTTGGATTCTGACTGTTTGAGTTGGTAGGTGGCGGTGGTGGCAGGGACGCGGAACCGGGAGTGGCTTAACAATGCGCAATAATGCCACGACTGAGACGAAGGAGGTGATCCGAGCTTTTACAGGAAGGTTTGACGAGATCCTGACTAAGCAGTGTTGATTGGTGAACCTATGGTTTGTTTACTTCTCTTCCCAATCTGGCTTCTTGAACTTCTGACAACACCACATCTCATCCAGAACATCTACCCAGCTCCAAGAGAGAGAAACACAATGTCTGTCGCCGAGATCTTCTCGGATGCCCAGCGCTCTCTGATCAGTCACAGAACTCTGGCCAAACGACTACGCCGTCTTGAAAACTCTCCAAACTTTGAAGCCCACGTCAAACAATGCATCTTCCGACTCCTCGACGTCAGCAAATCCGAAGCAGCTGGAAACCGTGTCATCAAGTTCCTCACGATATACCTCGCCAGCGACGATGCCTCAAATCAAATCTCTTCCACCATCCTCTTGGCTGTCCTTCCATTTCTCTGCGCTAAAGACAAGACAGTCCGATACCGAGCAACCCAACTTACCTGCCAGATCCTCGGTGTCTTGCAAGCGATCGACGACGATCTGTACAAAGTTGTTAGACACGAACTGATCAAGAGAATGAGAGATAAGGTTCCCGCCATACGATTGGAGGCGGTAATGGCGTTGGGTCGCCTGGTGGAAAGTGAAATGGAGGAAGAAGAGCAGGAAGATTCTGACGAGGATTACGCCCCTGGCTTGCTTCATAAGCTCCTCGATGCCCTACAAAACGATACTAATGCAGACGTCAGAAGAGCGCTCCTGGTAAATCTTCCGGCTACACCCAAGACCTTACCTTACTTGCTCGAGCGAGCTAGAGATCGTGATGCTCCAACTAGGCGTGCTCTGTACGCAAAATTGCTTCCTAAGCTTGGCGATTTCCGACATCTGTCATTATCCATGCGGGAGAAGTTGTTGAGGTGGGGCTTGAGAGACCGCGATGAGAGAGTTCGCGGGGCCGCCGCCCGTCTTTTCAGAGAATGCTGGATCGAGAACTGCGCAAGGACTGAGACCGAGGAATCTGCTGAGGCGGAGGACGAGAAGGAAGCTCAGGTTGGCTTCTATGATCCAAGCATTCCCGCGTTATTGGAACTCCTGGAAAGAATCGACACGTTGAACACCGGGAACGAGGATGGTGTCGCTCGTGAGGCGATGAGAGAATTTTGGGCTGGTCGACCTGACTACCTCGATGCGGTCAGGTTTGACGATGGTTTCTGGGACAATTTGACTCCAGAGTCTGCGTTTATGGCACGTACCTTCAATGACTACTGCCACTCAGACCCAAACTATCGCGAAATGATCGACGAGAAAATGCCAGAGGTTACACGGTTGGGATTTCATCTCCAGAAGCATATCAACGAGTTAGTCGCCAGGGTCCAACACGCCAGTGAATCGGACTCGGACGAAAAGATCGCACTGCAAGCGGAACAAGAGTTCATTGTGGAGCAGCTCTTGTATATTGCTCAGTCGTTGGACTATACGGATGAGATTGGAAGGAGGAAAATGTTTTCTTTACTCCGACATACTTTGTCCATGGCTGAATTGCCAGATGAATGCACTCGACTCACCGTGGAAGCCCTACGACTCGTATGCAACTCGGATGCAGCTGGCGAGAGAGAGTTTACCTCAATCGTTCTCGAAGCCATCGCCGAAGTTCACGACAACATCGTCTCTTCCGACCTCGATGACGAAGCTGAGGCGGACGAGGAAGACAGCTTCGTCTCAGCCCGCAGTGAAGTCAGCGGTGACTCCACGCCTCGAAACGATCAAGCCAAGAGCAAGCGCGATAAGAACCTCACCGAAGAAGAGCAAGAAGCTAAAGCGATCAAGGAAATTGTCATCAACATGAAATGCCTTCATATCGCTCAATGCATGCTGCAAAATGTCGCAGGGAACCTGCAATCGAACATCGACCTACGTACGATGTTTGACAATCTGGTTATCCCGGCTGTTCGATCCCATGAAGCTCTGATACGCGAACGCGGGGTGCAATGTTTGGGACTGTGCTGTTTGCTTGAGCCCAAGCTTGCCGACGAGAACATGCGGCTCTTCACTCTTTTGTTGAAAAGAGGCCATGAGACCCTTCAA